GCTGCAGTGAGCTGTGATCACATCAGTGCACTCCAGCCTGGGCAACAGAGCAAGACCCTGTCTCAAAAAAAAAAAAAAAAAAAAAAAAAGCAAGCAGGAGCAGCACCTTAGTACCAAGGAAAAGTCTACCCTTCCTCTCAAAGCCTCCTGGACCAGGCTGAGTGGCTTGGGGAACACCATGTGACTGGCTTCACTCCCCAGTGCAGACAACTGTTGGCAACCCCTCCCCTCTCCTCCCCTCTCCTCCCCTCTCCTCCCCTCTCCTCCCCTCTCCTCCCCTCCCCTCCCCTCCCCTCCCCTCCCCTCCCCTCGGCTTTGTTGCCACTGACCTCCATCCACATGGTTTCCTTAACCAGAGCCCCTCTCCTCCTCTCCTTGCCAGTGAAGCACTGCCTGCCCTCCTAGCCTGCAGCAAGCCCTGCCCTGCCCCATCTTTCTACCCAATTTTGCGCTTTTCTGTTTCACACTCGTTTCTTTTTACTTTGGATTAATTGTGGCTGTTGGGACTTTGGCTTGATTGCTAACATGCTTTGCCTGTACTTCCTGATGATACAAACAATCCTGCCCACTTCCTCTGCCAGATATTGCACCCACTGGGCAGGATTTGTGCTTCCCTGACTCTGCCCCACCCAGTGCTCCCAGCAGGGGCAGGTACAGGAATCTCGCTAGGTGGAGGTGTTGGAATTGGTTTTTCTTGCAGACAAAGACCTGCGGACCAAGGGCTTCAGCCTAGAGTCGTGCCGCAGCATGGTGAACCTCATGGATGTATCCTTCCATTTGCTTTTGTCTCCTGAGTGGGGTTTTGGGTGGAGGTATCCGTGCTGGGAAAACTGTCCCAGGACAGTGCAGAGAACGGGACAGAGCCATATGAAGTGTGGACACACACACGGTGCCTGATGCTCAGATGCCTCCCTGGACATCTTCCTGTTGGTTGGGAGGGAGAAACTGAGGCACAGACCTGTGTCAAGTGAAAGGCGGAGCAAGACCTGGGTCCCCATTGACCCTGAGGCTGGTGCTGTTTCTGAACCCTCCCCAGCCCACTCCACTGCAGCCCAGCTCAGAACGATGCAAGCCCGGCTGTGGGCTGACTGTGTGTGGCTTTTGCTGCTTCTCCTCACCCAACCCCAAGTCAGCTTGCTGGCTCTGCGGCTGTCTCCCGTTCCGCACAGTTGCCCACTCTCTCCCATGCCTGGTCTAAGTGGTGGAATTTCCTTCTTAACGGCCACCCAGCGTGACGGCAATGGGAAGCTGGGCCTGGTGGAGTTCAACATCCTGTGGAACCGCATCCGGAATTACCTGGTAGGTTGTCCCCACTCACCTCAGTCGTGTAGGTGCGGGCCAGGCCGGCGGGAAGGGCCGGGTGACTCAGCCTGGCTCTCACCCTCTGCCCCCACCCCAGTCCATCTTCCGGAAGTTTGACCTGGACAAGTCGGGCAGCATGAGTGCCTATGAGATGCGGATGGCCATCGAGTCGGCAGGTGAGACCCCAAGGCTGATGGCACCTGTGGGGCCTGGGACCGGTAGCCCCACTGCTCCTATGCCCCAGGCCCTTGTCCCCATGGTGCTGGTGGTGACGTGGTAACAGCCATCTTGTCCTTTTCCCCACAGTTACTGAGCGAAGTGCGTTACTGGGTTCCCTTCCTTCCTTCCTCTCTGCAGCCTAACGAGGCTAGTGTCTTTTACCATCCCCACTGTGCACATGACAAAAGAGAAGCTCAGAGAAGGAAAGTGACTGACTTCAGGCCTCACAGCCAGCAGGGGCAGAGCCAGGCTGCAGAGCCTCCAGTGAGGGAGATGCAGGGCTCACTCACCCCAGCCCGCTTAAGCACAAGGCCAGGGCATTCAGCACAAACTAAGCTGGACCCCTGAGCCCTCACTGGCCCACTCCTGATTCCCTGGCATGACCTGGGCCCAGAGACCGGCACTCACTTGCCCAGCCCCTCATAGCTACTGGCCCTGCCCAGGAGGCCTTCATGCCCCTTCTGGAGAAGAAAAGGCGCCAAGCACCCTGCCTAGCTCCAGCCCCCTCCTAGGGACTCAACCCCTTCCCCATCCTGTTGGGCAGGGGCTGCGCCTCCCTGACCTTCACTCACTCTCCTGGACCAGGCTTCAAGCTCAACAAAAAGCTTTATGAGCTCATCATCACCCGCTACTCAGAGCCCGACCTGGCGGTCGACTTTGACAATTTCGTGTGCTGCCTGGTGCGGCTAGAGACCATGTTCCGTGAGTGTCCAGCTCCGTCCCAAACGCGTCACCAAGGAGCTGGGGGGAATGACAGATGGGTGAATTAGCAGATACAGGCCAGTGCTGTGGATGTGTGCCAGAGAGGCCTGGTTCTGGGTTTGGGGGGCCCTGGCTGAGTGCCAGGAGAGTTGGGGAGGGAGGGAGTTGATGGCAGCTTCTCAGGCAGCTGGAAGGGGTGAAGCTTCCCAGGTTCAAGGGGTGTCAGCTTGGGGTACTGTGGGGAGGTAGAGAGGGACCAGGCAGGAAGGGGGCTAGGCCTGGCCCTGCGTGAATGTCCCACTGAGTTTTCAGCCCTGTATCACCTTTTCTTGAACACACAGGATTTTTCAAGACTCTGGACACAGATCTGGATGGAGTCGTGACGTTTGACTTGTTTAAGGTGGGAACCTCCCCGGGCCCATGGTGGGGGAAGAGGTCCAGGCGATCGAGTTTTCTTATCTGGCCAGTGTTCCCTGTCCTTTCCTGGAAATGAGCCTGAGCCCCAGAGGCAACCCTGAAGTCCAGGCCCCCTGAGTCCTGAAAGGCTGGGGTGGGGGTGTCTGGATTCTGGGAAAGGAGCAGGAGGGGAGACCCAGGCCTTTGGAGGCCTCTATGGGAGCAGCACTCTGGTTTCCTGGGGGTGGAGGAGGTAAGAAAGTAGCCCCTTCATGAGGTCCCTGAGGTGGCTCCTGAGCCGTGGAGTTGGGGGCTGGACCTGGGGTTTGGGTGGGGAAGAAGCCAGGCAGCCATTTCTGCGGCCCCGGCTGACCTGCCTGCTCTCCTGCAGTGGTTGCAGCTGACCATGTTTGCATGAGGCAGGGACTCGGTCCCCCTTGCCGTGCTCCCCTCCCTCCTCGTCTGCCAAGCCATGCCTCCTGCCACACAACACCAGGCCACGCCAGCTGCAAGTGCCTTCCTTGGAGCAGAGAGGCAGCCTCGTCCTCCTGTCCCCTCTCCTCCCAGCCACCATCGTTCATCTGCTCTGGGCAGAGCTGTGTGGCCCCTGCCTGCGCCAGCTATGGGCTCGGGATGGACTCCCTGGGCCCCTTCCATTGCCAAGCCAGGAAGGCAGCTTTCGCTTGTTCCTGCCTCGGGACAGCCCCAGGTTTCCCCAGCATCCTGATGTGTCCCCTCTCCTTACTTCAGAGGCCACCCACTCAGCAGCACCGGCCGGGCCTTGCCTGCAGACTGTAAACTGTAACCACTAGCTCTACACGGTCTGCAGTCCAGGCATGTGGAGCCGCCTCCTAGCTCGGGGAGGCCCCGGGGCTGGGAACGCCTGTGCCTTCCTGTGCCAAAGCCAGTGCCCCCTCTGTCCCTCCCTGGCCCTGTTGCCGACCAGGAGCTGCCCAATCTGTGGGCGGTCGGCCTTCCCTCCTTCGCTCCTTTTTTATATTAGTGATTTTAAAGGGGACTCTTCAGGGACTTGTGTACTGGTTATGGGGGTGCCAGAGGCACTAGGCTTGGAGTGCGGAGGTCCCATGTTCCATATAGAGGAACCCCAAATAATAAAGGAAAAGGCCCCACATCTGTCTGTGACTTGTTTCTCCACAGTCTACTGCCTGGAGGGCACCTGCAGGCCCTGGCCCATGGGGGCAGCTCGTGGCCTCAGCTCACCCCTCCCCTCCAACCCTTCCATCTCTTTCCCCTTGACCTGAAGCCTGAACCCCTACTGGAGTACTGGGTATCTGGGCCAGGCTACCCCTGGCCCTGGGAGGTTGGGAAGGAGGGGCCCCAGCTGCAGGGACAGGGCCACACAGCTGAGGTCCCACATGACTCTGCTGATCCTACATGCCCTCCCCGCCGCCCAGGAGGCCTGACCCCTACCTTTCTTGCACACTTCAGCCCATTGAGGTGAGGCTCTGGCTGAAACTCAAACCTCTACTTAGCACACACCCAGTCCCCCAGGGAGCTCCCCGGAGCGCGGAGCCGCCTTCAGGTCCTTCTGTGGGGAGCCCCTGTGACCCAGACACCTGCACTTATATAAGCCCCTCCAGGCCCTTCCGGGATCCGAGATTTTTCTTACCAGAGATAAGAGTGGCTTGGGGGAAGGAAGAGGGGATGGGGCGAAGCCGCAAATGCAGAGCAGAGGCCGAGTTGGGGGAGGGTGGGGGTGGGCTGCTGTCAGCTACTGTGGGCCCCAGTGTCGGGGCAGAGATGGCGGTGGAGGCTCCTGTGCGCCCCATGGGGCAGGCTGCCCGCACGCTGCTGTCTTGAGCTTGCATTTTGCCCTTGTCACCTCCTCACTGGGAGTCCAGGTCCTGTCAGGCTCAGGGTCTTCAGCAGTGAGGGCAGTGGCTCAGCTCTTCCTGGAGCCTCGGTGGGTGTGTGAGGGGCTGGAGGGCGGGAGAGTGTGCAGGGCCCTGCCATCTTGCTCAAACCCTTACTTGCTCTCCGGATTGGGTTTTATTTGATGAGGGGATGGGAACACCAGAGTCTGGATGACCTGGGGCCCTAACCTCTCAAAAACTCTGAGTCATTGAGGTGGGAGTGGGAAGAGCAGGGCTTCCTCCTGACTGCCCTATTTGGGCTTGCTTTCCTTTCTTTCTTTCCTCTCCTTCTCTCCTTCTCTCTTTCTTTCTTTCTTTCTTTCTGACGGAGTTTCTCTTTTGTTGCCCAGGCTGGAGTGCAGTGGCGTGATCTCAGCTCACTGCAACCTCTGCCTCCCAGGTTCAAGCGAGTCTCTTGCCTCAGCCTCCCAAGCAGCTGGGATTACAGGTGCCCGCCACCACGCCTGGCTAACTTTTGTATTTTTAGTAGAGACGGTTTTACCATGTTGGCCAGGTTGGTCTAGAACTCCTGACCTCAGGTGATCCACCTGCCTCAGCCTCCCAAAGTGCTGGGATTACAAGTATGAGCCACCACGCCCAGCCTATTTGGGCATTTTAAAAGGGCTTTTTCCCAAGTGTCACCTGTGCAGCCAAGTCCCTGCCTTCTTGGGAAGTGGGGAAGGGTAAGCATCTGTAACCACTGCACCCCATTATTCTGAACTCTCAGCACTTAAGGCTCCAGCTGCGATTTGGAGCCTAGTGACAGGGACTGTGTCCCATGTGCCAAGACTGGAATCGAGGCTTCCAAACACGCCTCGGTGTCTTCTGGAGGAAAAGGAACGTGACGGTGCTCCGTTCACTGCTGGGGTCCTGCCGGTGAGAGCAGTGGGCAGGGTGGCTGGACCTGCGGATCTGGGTGGTGGGCTGTGACTCGGCCCTCAGGGTAAGAGATGGAGAGACCTAGAGAAAGGGTATGGGGGAGGGGAGCCCTGCAGATGTGGGGACACCTGAACCCTCCTATGGGGTGTAACCTGAGCCCTCTGACACAGGGTGCACAGGATGTCTGCAGTCCTCACCCCTGGCCTGTTCCTCCCACTCCCAGGGCTCCTCCCCAGCCTCTCTACATAAAGCCAGGCAGGCTGGGCCTCAGGTCAGGCCTATGGCCATGGCCTTCACAGACCTGCTGGACACTCTGGGCGGCATGGGCCGCTTCCAGCTCATCCATACGGCCCTGCTGTTGCTGTCTTGCGGCCTGCTGGCCTGCCACAACTTCCTGCAGAACTTCACGGCCGCTGTCCCCCCGCACCACTGCCGGGGCCCTGCCAACCACACTGAGGCCTCCACCAATGACTCAGGGGCCTGGCTGAGGGCCACCGTACCCCTGGACCAGCTTGGGGCCCCTGAGCCCCGCCGGCGCTTCACCAAGCCTTAGTGGGCCCTGCTGAGCCCCAACTCCTCCGGCCCGGACATGGCCACAGAGCGCTGCAAGGACGGCTGGGTCTATAACCACAGTGTTTTCCCATCCACCATCGTGATGGAGGTCAGAAGGGGCTGGGCGCATGGGGGGCTGCTGCCGAGGCCCAGTCTGAAGCGCTCACGTCTTCCCTGCAGTGGGATCTGGTGTGTGAGGCCCGCACTCTCCGAGACCTGGCGCAGTCTGTCTACATGGCTGGGGTGCTGGTGGGGGCTGCCGTGTTTGGCAGCCTGGCAGACAGGTGAGCCCGTGGGGATAAGTGCCCCAGCCACCCAGTGCAGGCCAGAAAGCCTTGGCCTCTGCATTCATTTTTCTTTGTTACAGTTGATTTGTGCATTTTAAACAGATAATACACATAGTACATTCACATGGCTTCAAATCCCAAAAGGCACAGAAGAGCCTGCTGGGGATCACCCCTTTCCTGCCTGTGCCCCTCCCTGCAGTAACCCCCAGAGGGCAGCCTGGTTTCTATGTCTTTTACCAGAGACATTTTATGATTCTATGCAGTCAAGCAAGTGGGTGTATATGTTCTATTCCCCCATTTTTATTTTCTTGTTTTGTATTTGTTTTCTTCTTCATGTCCCCCCATTTTTTTCTTTGAGATGAGGTCTCACTATGTTGCCCAGGCTGGTCTCAAACTTCTAGGCTCAAGCAATTCTCCTGCCTCTGTCTCCCAAGTAGCTGAGGTGACAGGCCTAGCCATCCTTTTTTTATGCAAATGCTGGCATACACCCCACATGGTCCTGTACCCAGCTTTTTCTTCACTTTGGAGGCCTCCTCTCCTATTCCTTCAGAAAGAGCTGTCCCACCCCTCCTAGTCTTTACACTGTACCCCACTGTATGTATGAGCCAGTACGAACCCTAACTTGCTCCCCCTTATTTTTTAGGGTGAGGTCTCACTCTGTCACCCAGGCTGTAGTGCCGAGGTACGAACATAGCTCTCTGCAGCCTCAACCTTCTGGGCTCAAACGATCCTCCTGCTTCAGCCTCCCCAGTAGCTGGGACTACAGGCACCCACCAACACACCCAGCTAATTAAAAAAAAATTTTTTTTTTTAGTAGAGATGGGGTCTCACTATATTGCCCAGGCTGGTCTCAAACTCCTGGGCTCAAGCAATCTTCCTCCCTCTACCTCCTACAGTGCGGGGATTACAGGTGTGAGCACTGCGCCCAGCCTAACTGACCCCTATTGACAGACGGTGATGTGCAGCCAGCTCATGGCTCTGAAGTTGGCTCCCACGTCTCTCTCTCTCTGCACCTCTTTCCCCTTCCTCCTCTTCGCTCTCTCTCCCCTCCCCCTTCTGCTCTGCCCTTCTTCTCTCAGTTCAGGTTTGGGGGGTCCTCCCGGACTCCACCCCACACTCTGGAATGTAGATGGCTCCCTGTGCCACACACCTCAGGCCCTCATCACACCATGTCATGACACATCCTGGTCTTTCTACATGTGAGCTTGTGTCTTATCCAGAGTGTCTCGTTTGTCACCAGCCCTCAACTCAGGCCTGTCACTTAGAGGTGATTAATGATCAATGAACATTGTGTCACAATGAATGAGTGAATGAAAGAATGCATGAAGAAATGAGTGAGGGGGTGAGTGAGTGGGTGAGTGGGTAAGTGGGTAAGTGAGTGGGTGAGTGAGTGGGTGGTGAGTGGGTGGGTGGGTGAGTGAGTGGGTGGGTGAGTGGGTGGGTGGGTGAATGGGTGGTGAGTGGGTGAGTGGGTGGGTGAGTGGGTGGGTGGGTGGGTGAGTGAGTGGGTGGGTGGTGGGTGGGTGAGTGGGTGGGTGGGTGGTGGTGGGTGGGTGGGTGGGTGAGTGGGTGGTGAGTGGGTGGGTGGGTGGGTGGTGAGTGGGTGTGTGTGTGGGTGGGTGGGTGGTGAGTGGGTGAGTGGGTGGGTGGTGAGTGGGTGAGTGGGTGGGTGGGTGGGTGAGTGGGTGGGTGGGTGGGTGGGTGGGTGGGTGAGTGAGTGAGTGAATGAGTGAGAGGGTCATGGGGTGTGTGGAGAAGAAAAGCTGCCTCCCTTCTTGGCCTGCTTCCCTCCTGGCCAAATTGGGGTTGTGCGCTCTGGCCCTGGACCCTCATTTGCAAATAGGGCAAATAACCCTGCATCCTGTCCTCGGGCCCCGCTGTGGCATGGCAACCCTCTAGTCCACGTAAAGACTCAACCCTGGCTCCTGCTCCCACACTGGGGACTGGCCAAGGGCTCACCCGCTGTGAGTGCTGGTTCGAGGCCTCCCTCTAGCCAGAACAGTGCTCAGGTGACCTCTCCCCACCTGCCACACGCCCCTCTGGGGCTTTGTAGAGTCCCTGCCTTTCCTCGAGCCTGGACTAAATCTCCTTGCCAACGTCCTTCTACACCATGTCCCTGTGTCTGTGACTAACCTCTGCCACGAAGCCTGGGTCCCAGCAGTTTCAAGTTTCTGTTTTGGAGGGGTGGCTTTCGCGGGGTACCCCATCTTCCCCGTGACGTGACTGCCTTGATAACGCCCCTGCTCGGGTGGAAGGGGCAGGCGTGGGCTGCCAATTTGTTTCTTGGGGGATGCTGCTGCTGCCTCTCAAAACTCTAATGCCTGTGCCCATTCTCTGGACTCAGGCTGGGCCGCAAGGCCCCCCTGGTCTGGTCCTACCTGCAGCTGGCAGCTTCGGGGTCCGCCACAGTGTATTTCAGCTCCTTCAGTGCCTACTGCGTCTTCCGGTTCCTGATGGGCATGACCTTCTCTGGCATCATCCTCAACTCCCTCTCCCTGGGTGAGTCCAGCCAAGGAGAGGCCGAGAAGGACTGGGGCTCCTGAAAGAGTGGGGTGGGTGGGGGCAGGGGGCAGGGGCAGGGGGACACGGGGATGGCAACGTCCAGGGTCATTGGACATTTTTCTCATGTTGTTTAGTTGGGATTCTCATCCAGCAACCTCATCTCAAAGCCTCCCGCCAGAGTTCTGGACTTGGGGGACCTGGGCTCCCGGGTAGTGGTGGCCCTGCTGGCTGTGGGTGGGGAGTCCCTGGATGGCCTTTCCCAGGTCTGGGCTTTAGTGTACTCATCTGTAAACTGAGAGGGTTAGGTTTATTTTATTTGTTAATTAGCCAAAAATAACCACTTACTAAGCACCTATTGTCTCCAGGCTTAGTGTGGGGACACAGAGGCCACAGGGACACAGGAGGGGAGTGAGCCATGATGGTCCCCAGGGCTGCAGCCAGTCCTGAAATTGTGTGACTCTAAAAAGGCTGGTGATTCCTCAGCTTCATGGTGGAGACCTGGCTCCTAATGCCAGCTTGGAGTGTTGTGCCCCCAAGTGATAAATGGCAGACTCAGTCCTCACTCTGGGCTGGTTCTGGGCAGTCCCTGGGTGGTCCTTGGAGAAAGCTTTGCAGGGCAGTAGGAAGCCCACACAGGACACAGGCCTGCCACCCACCTATGCTTCATTTTAACACTTAGCTTGCTCCTGGGGACATCACTGGGCGCAGAAACTGCTGCCACCGTCAGCTGTGCAAAGATAGGATGGGTCTTTTATATCAGCGGTCAGGGAGAAATCTTGGGACCGGAGAACCAGGACGCACCAGGCCAGCACACCTGACCTCCCCTCCCTCTCCCAGCACAAAGTGGGATCTCAGCAAATCCCAGCCTACACAGCTCACTCTGCAGGGTGAGCATCCGGCCATGGCTTGAAACAGGTGTCCGAGGTCCACTTTATGCTGGAATGGGCTCTAACACCTACACAGACACATACAGACACACACACACACACACACACACACACGCATGCACGCATACGCATCAGAGACTGCCCAGCCTCTTAACACCTCCTGAGGCTGGAGAGGACGGGCGCTGTCTTAGGACATCTCAGCCTGTAAAGACGACTTTGCAGAGATTCTATCAAGTGCCCTGGAGCTCCCACCACAGGCCATGCCCTGCCTCGGGTCACACCGCACAAGTGTAGTGACTTCCCGCCTATGTATATATATATATGCCTCCCCTCATGTTTGTTCCTGTGCACACTGTTCTGTATCTTGATTCTTCTACTTAACCAAAGTTGTCACTGGTCCACTGCCTGATAGAGGACCTTCTAGTGCCTGGAGAGGCTCTAGAGGTTGCGGTGAACACAGCAAAGCCCAGCTCCTTGGGGTCCATGTTCTAGCGAGGGGCGATATCACCACCACACATAACGAATCGTATAGTTTGTTCGAAGACAGTAAGTGCTACAGAGGAAAACCGAAGCCTGGAAAGGGGAGAAAAATGGCCAGATTGCCCGGGCACGGTGGCTCATGCCTATAATCCCAGCACTTTGGGAGGCCAAGGCGGGTAGATCACCTGAGGAGTTTGAGACCAGCCTGGCCAACATGGTAAAACCCCGTCTCTACTACAAATACAATTAGCCGGGCGTGGTGGCGGGCGCCTGTAATCCCAGCTACTCGGGAGACTGAGGCAAGAGAATTGCTTAACTTGGGAGGCGGAGGTTGCTGTGAGCCGAGATCGCACCACTGCCCTCCAGCCTGGGTGACAGAGTGAGACTCTGCCTCAATAAAACAAACAAAAAACCCCACAAAGAATGGCCGGGTTGGAGGAGAGGGGTCTGCAGTTTTAATTAGCGTGGTTTGGGAAGACTGCACTGAAAAGGGGTCATTCTGAGCGAAACTGGGAGGAGTTGAGGGAGTGAGCCCTGCAGGTTTCTGGGGTAGAACATTCCAGGCAGAGGGAACTGCCAGGCAGAGGCCCTGCCGTGGAAAGTGTGCCCAGGGTGAAGAGCAAGGAGGGCCCTGTGGCTGAAGCAGAGTTGGGAGGTGGGCGACAGGGGAGGTCGCGGAGGGCAGTTCTGCAGGACCTTGTGGCCAGCGTTCTAGGACCTCGGCTTTGCCTCTGAATGAGACAAGAGCCACTGGAGGATTTTGACCAGGGAGAGACCCGATCTGATTTAGGATTTGAGATCTGATAAGATTTATCTGGCTGCCATGTGACACCAGGACAGAAGCAGGGAGGCCGGTTAAGGGGCTACTGCTGTCATCAAGCAAGAGACCAGGTTGAGCTGGGCCACGGTGGCAGCAGTGGAGGCAGCGAGGAGAGCTCAGATTCCGGCTCAATTCTGAAGGATTTGCTGAAGGGCTGGACGCCCGGGCTTCTTGCCCACTGGGAAGAAGCTTCCTCATTAATTCGTTACAGCTGCCTCGTAAGGGTATGTCGTCATTATTTAACCAGTCCCCTGTAGATGGACATTCAGGTTGTTCCAAGTTTTGCTCTTTACAAAAATTAGTGTTTTCTGTCTTTGCATGGGGTTGAGCACCTCTGCCCATTTTCCTTTTAGCTTGTTGGCTGTTTTCTAATTGATTTGTGAAAACTCTTCCAGTATTAGGGAAATTAGTCTTTCTTCTTTCTTTCTTTTTTTATTTTTTGAGACAGAGTCTAGCTCTGTCACCCAGGCTGGAGTGTAGTGGTCCAATTAATTTCAGCTCATTGCAACCTTCGCCTCCCAGGTTCAAGCAATTCTCGTGCCTCAGCCACTCGAGTAGCTGAGATTACAGGCACACACCACCATGCCCGGCTAATTTTTGTATTTTTAGTAGAGACAGGGTTTCGCCATGTTGTCCAGGCTTGTCTCAAACTCCTGACCTCAGGTGATCCACCCGCCTCAGCCTCTCAAAGTGCTGGGATTACAGGATTGAGCCACTGCACCCAGCCCAAAATTAATCCTTTATCTGTTAGTTGGGTTAGTTTATCTGTTAGTTGGGTTACAACAACTATATTTTTACGTTTTTTATTGACTTTTTTTGGCTTGACTTATGGTGTTTTGTTTTGTTTTATTCCAATGCAGACATTTTTTATTTTTACAACTCCAAGTTTGTCAGCCTCCCCTTTTATTGCCTGTGGGTTTTGTGATGTCCTTGGAAAAGCCTTTCCCTACTCTAAGATTGTAAAATAATCTCCCCTGATTTCTTCCGGCATTGTTGTGGTTTTATTGTTTGTTGAGTTCTTTGATCCACTTAGAATTCATCTGGAGTGCAGTAAGGACACCTTTGCCTGTGTCTCAGCAGGTCTCTGGAATGAGTTTAAGCTGTCAGAATCATAAGGGGGGTGTGATGAATTAACCACATGGGTAGCTGAATGACACTGCATGTCACTGTTTTCTCCCCAGTTGTGGAGTGGATGCCCACCCGGGGCCGGACTGTGGCAGGTATCTTGCTGGGGTACTCCTTCACCCTGGGCCAGCTCATCCTGGCGGGGATAGCCTACCTGATTCGCCCTTGGCGGTGCCTGCAGTTTGCCGTCTCTGCTCCTTTCCTGATCTTTTTCCTCTATTCTTGGTATGTCCTGAACAGAGTGGGATGGGGGAGGGTGCACCTGTGTGGCCGAGTCTTCACCTGGCCCTGTGAGAGGTTGGGGTGTGCGGTGACCGGGACTTGTTGGACTTGACGTGGGACACGAAGGATGGCAGGCATTCGTGGAGGCTGCAAGCTCTCAAGTCCTCACAAATGGCTACTGGGACACTCTGGTAAAATCCCTTGCATTGGTGTGGGGCCCTGGAACATCCCAAGAGCTTTTGCCTTCATCAACTCCTTCACATCCCTCAACATTTTATAAGTACTCTAAGTACTTATAAAGTTATAAGAATATAACTGGGGCATTTATAAGAGGGTAATGAGGCACAGCCTCATTACAGAGAGGGCCCATGACTCACTCAAGGCCACACAGCTGGGGTCAGAACCAGATTCAAAACCGGGTCTGGGACAGATGCGGTGGCTCACACCTGTAATCCTAGCACTTTGGGAGACTGAGGCAGGCAGATCACTTGAGGTCAGGAGTTTGAGACCAGCCTGGCCAACATGGTGAAACCCCGTCTCTAAAAATAAATAAATTAATTAATTAAATAAAATTAGCCGGGCATGGTGGTGGGTGCCTGTAATCCCAGCTACTCGGGAGGCTGAGGCAGGCAAATCACTTCAATCCGGGAGGCGGAAGTTGCAGTGAGCTGAGATTGCACCACTGCACTCCAGCCTGGGCGATAGAGTGAGACTCTGTCTAAAAAAAGAAAAACCACGGGTCTGTTGAAATCTTAAGTCCTCTGTAGTTTTTGTTTGTTTTTTGTTTGGTTTTGTTTTGTTTTTGAGATGGAGTCTCTCTCTGTTGCCCAGGCTGGAGTACAGTGGAGCGATCTCGGCTCTGCAACACCCACCTCCCAGGTTCAAGTTCTCCTGTCTCAGCCTCCCGAGTAGCTGTGATTACAGGCACACACCACCACGCCTGGCTAGTTTTTTTGTATTTTTAGTAGAGACGGGGTTTCATTATGTTGGCCAGGCTGGTTTTGAACTCCTGACCTCAGTTGATCCACCCTCCTGGGCCTCCCAAAGTGCTGGGATTACAGGTGTGAGTCACCGTGCCTGGCCAAGTCCTCTGTAGTCTTTAAATACTGTTCAGTGAGTCTCTGTATGATTTGCTGCAAGAAAAGGGAAGCTGGCACGGCCCCCAGACTTCCTGATGCAACAGACAGGAGGACAGATCACCTTTTCTGGGTCTGAAAGAAGGTGGACAAGGAGCTATTGGGTTTGGGGAACAGAATGAGCTCTACCCAGCCCCAGATCCTTCTTCCTCCTCCTCTCGATCCCAGGTGGCTTCCAGAGTCATCCCGCTGGCTCCTCCTGCATGGCAAGTCCCACTTAGCTGTACAGAATCTGCAGAAGGTGGCTGCAATGAATGGGAGGAAGGAGGAAGGGGAAAGGCTGACCAAGGAGGTGAGCGAGCTGGGAGGAAGGAAGGGTGGGAACAGTCTTCAGTCTTGCTGGCAACCTCCAGTTGTACTAGAATTTAGCAACTTCCCAGGACTCACGTGCCATCCAGGTGTAGACGCTGGGAATACACAGTACAGGCAGAGTTCTGATGTGTGAAAGATGTTGTCTAGGTATTGAATGACTGTGTGATTTAGGATAAATAATTTAACTGCTTTGCTCATCAGTTGATCCATCTTTGCAACGAGGAAATAACCCTATTAACCTTGACATCCAGTTGAAATTTTAATAAAATAATAAACTAAAATTATTAAAATAGCAACCACAAAGTAAAATTACTGGGGAATCAATAACAAAAGTACTATCACAAATACCATTTATTATAAGATAGTTACCATTTATTATCAATACGCATCATTTCTCAAGCCCCATGCCAGGCACTAGGCTAAGAGCTTTATGTACATAACCTCGTTTCATGTCTCATTTTTGCCAATGAGGAAATTGAAGTGGGGACAGGTCAGGTAACTTGCCTGAGAACATACAGTAGGAAGTGGCAGAACCACTTGGAACCCCTGCTCTTATCTGACACAGTCTTCAAGTCTATACCAGGAATGGGGTGGGAGGCCCTCCAGAACCACAGAACCTCAGTACTGTTGGGGTTCGTGTTGGAGCTTCTCAACACCCTGGAAACAGCCCCTCAAGTGCCATCAGTCTTTGGATGGAGAGGAGACAAGGGCCAGCCACCTCACCAAAGACCTCAACCCCAGCTCTCCTCCACACAGATGAAGGGGTTCCCTGCAGGGATGTGGGGTCCCAGCTCCCTCGCTTCCCCTGAGCAGACTCTTCTCACCTAGGCGGTGAGCTCCTACATCCAGAGCGAGTTTGCAAGTGTCCACACCTCCAACTCGATCTTGGACCTCTTCCGAACCCCGGCCATCCGCAAGGTCACATGCTGTCTCATGGTGATCTGGTAGGTGACAGGCTCATGCCCAAGTCTTTCACCCAAGGCAGGGGCATGCTCTCTGCCCCCACTGAAAAACTCTGTTCTGAAATACTCTTAATGCAATGAGCAGGTGAGCCGTGTGAACTCAATCTCTTCCCACACCCTTTCTCCAGCACTCGGCCTCTGCTGGACGCTGAGATGTGGTGACAGATGAGATATCATGCCAACCCAGGAACCCTATTTCTGGGCAGTGGGTCTCACCTGGGTGGGAGGACTACTGGAATCACCAAGGCAGCTTTTCCAGAATGTAACTTGTCCCATCCCGATATGCCCCTGGGGCGGGCTCTCCAGTGGATTCTGGGAAGTGTCCCACTCTGGAAAAAACACTTCTGGATCCAGAAGGGGATAGACAGGAAAATCGTAATTTCCATGCAGTGAGACATGTATCTTGACAGCATTTCTGCTAGCTGGGGCTGCTGAGGGCTTCAGGCAGGAGACAGCATTTAGACTAGTTTTAAAAGATGGTTAATCAAGTTTGCAAGGTGGGCAGGAAGGAATTCCTAACAGGTTCACAGGCATGAAGATGTGAAATGGACAAAAATACAAAGGCAGCCCATATGCAGTAGCGCCACCTACTGGAAGCTGACAAATCCTAAGGGGAAGGGCTGATAAAAAACAACCGTGTTGATTTCATTCCACTGGATTTCCTGCACATTTAAATAATTGGTGTTGATAACAACAGGGACTACAGGCAATGAATTATTATCCATTTTCTTTCTTTCTTTCTTTCTTTCTTTCTTTCTTCTTTTTCTTCTTCCCCTCTCTCTTTCTTTCTTTTGTTTTTCTTTTTCTTTCTTTCTTTTTTTTTTTTTTTTTTGAGACGGAGTCTCCCTCTGTCTCCAGGCTGGAGTGCAGTGGTGCGATCTTGGCTCACTGTAACCTCCGCCTCCCGGGTTCAAGCAATTCTCCTGCCTCAGCCTCCCGAGTAGATAGGACTACAGGTACGCGCCACTACACCCAGCTAATTTTTGTATTTTTAGTAGAGGCGGGCAGCTATCTGTTTTCTGTAGCAGACTGGGGAGTCGCTTTTAGTAGATATCAGCTGGGCTCTGAGGCCAGACTATCCATGTGACCTGAGCAAGTAAGGGAGCCCAGCCTCCTGGGGCCTCTTTCCTACATCTGTAAGGTCCTTGTGAGGATCCAGAGTTAAGACATGAGGCCAGCCCTGGTGACTCATGTGTGTAATCCCAGCACTATGGCAGGCAGAGGCGGGAGGATTGTTTGAGCCCATGAGTTCCAGACCAGCTTGGTCAACACAGGGAGATCCCGCGCCAGCCGAGCATGGAGGGCTGTTACCTGTGGTTCCAGCTACTTGGGACGCTGAGGTGGGAGAATCGCTTGAATGCAGGAGTTGGAGGCTGCAGTGCTCTGTGCTCTCACCACTGCACTCCAGCCTAGGTGACAGAGCGAGACCCCGTGTGGAGAAAAAAAAAAAAAAAAAGTTAAGGCACATAAAGCACTTAAACCACAGGTGGCCCCCTGGGAAGCTCTGGGGTATAGAATCTTTCCTCTGGTTTGGATTTGGGGCTGTGACCCCTGTGTACTGGGAAGATGGGACGGCCCCCGACTCTGGGAGGCTGTGAGGGCTTCTGTCCCCAACAGCGTGGCAGGCAGCGCAGTTCTGGCTCTGGGGAGCGAGGGGCCTCCTGCGAACCCGAGTCCAGGAGGGGTGTCTTCCTGCGGTAGCCCCGCCGGCCTGGGCTTGCCTTTCCTCCACCTTCCTCTTTCCGCGAAGGAGAAACAGATCCTGAGTTCAAAACTCCAGAGCAGAAAGTCCTGTCTTGGATCCTTCTGGAAAGAGTAAGCAAAAGCCCGTTTTTGTTGAGAAAGTGACTCAGCAGCCATCCGGAGCTCTCTGCCTGCAGGTGGGGCCATTCTCCCATGAAGCCGACCCGACCCGACCCGCTCAAAGCTGCCCCAGGCACCGCAGGTTTGGTTCGTGCACGCTGGGACTTACCAACCGCACCCGGAAAATCGGGGCCATTTCCAAATGTTTCGCTTCGCTGCCGGCTGGGAGCCACGCCAGGCTCGCGCCTGGGATCAATTGCACAGTCCTGGCTTTGGGGAGCGGGAGGCGGCGAGCGTGCTCCCCTACCCCTTCCTCGCCAGTGTGTCTGGGTTGAGGTGGGGATGGGGAGTCCTGGGGTTCGAAAAAGGATGAGGGAGGAGAAAGAGGAATTGTTAGGAACTGGTGAACTTTCACAAACTTCCACAAACCCTATGGTAAATGCCTTCAATTAACTGGGATTTTTTCTTTACTGGTTGATTGATTTGATTGAGACAAGGTCTTGCTCTGGCACCCAGGCTGGAGTGCAGCGGCACAATCGTAGCTCACTGCAGCCTCGACCTCCTGGGCTCAAACGATCCTCCCACCGCAGCCTCTGTAGTAGCTAGGACTACAGGTGCCTGCTACCAAGCCCGGGCTAATTCTTAAAAATAGAGATGGGGTGAGGTCTTGCAATGTCGCCCAGGCTGGTCTAGAACTCCTGGACTGAAGAGATCCTCCCCCTTGGTCTCGCAAAGTGCTGGAATAACAGGCTTGAGCCACCTTGTGGTTTTTTTTCTAAATTCTGAAAAGCACGCATATTCATTGTTAAAAACTTTTTTTTCCCCAAAGAATCCAGAAACAGGCCGGGCGCGGTGGCTCAAGCCTGTAATCCCAGCACTTTGGGAGGCCAAGACGGGCGGATCACGAGGTCAGGAGATCGAGACCATCCTGGCTAACCCGGTGAAACCCCACCTCCACTAAAAAATACAAAAAACTAGCCAGGCGAGGTGGCAGGCGCCTGTAGTCCCAGCTACTCGGGAGGCTGAGGCAGGAGAATGGCTTAAACCCGGGAGGCGGAGCTTGCAGTGAGCTGAGATCCGGCCACAGCACTCCAGCCTGGGCGACAGAGCCAGACTCAGTCTCAGGAAAAAAAAAAAAAAAAAGAATCCAGAAACAGATAGGCAGTGTAGCGTATTGGTTAAGAAGCAGGACTGTGGAATCTGCTCCTTCGGTTTGAATCTCAGCTCTGCCACTTACTGACTTTGTGATCCTGGGCAAGTTACTTAACCGCTCTGTGCCTCAGTTTCTCCATTTGTAACATGGGCATCATAATAGAACCTACCACATAAGGTTGTTGTGAAAATTAGTCTGCAAAGGAGGTGGAACAATGCCTGAATGCGAGTTGTTTTCTGTTATCAGATATACAAGTGAATATTCCTCTCAACCTACTCTCCCTTCCACCTCTGAACATCTCCCATCTCCCATTTCTGTCAGGCATGAATTTGTACCCTTGAAGATACATGTACTAAGGTACATCCATGACACCCACATACTTACACACACACATACACACACACACATACACACGTTCTTTTTTTTTTTTTTTCCTGCAAGCTCCGCCTCCCGGGTTCACGCCATTCTCCTGCCTCAGCCTCCCGAGTAGCTGGGACTACAGGCGCCCACAACCGCGCCCGGCTAATTTTTTATATTTTTAGTAGAGACGGGGTTTCACCGTGGTCTCGATCTCCTGACCTTGTGATCCGCCCGCCTCGGCCTCCCAAAGTGCTGGGATTACAGGCGTGAGCCACCGTGCCCGGCCCACACGTTCTTATAGAAATGGATTTAATAGTGGCTGGGTGAGGTGGCTCATGCCTGTAATCCCAGCACTTTGGGAGGCCGAGGTGGGTGGATCACCTGAGTCAGGAGTTCGAGACCAGCCTGTCCAACATGGTGAAACTCCATCTCTACTGAAAATATGAAAATTAGCCACGTGTGGTGGCGTGCTCCTGTAGTCCCAGCTACTTGGGAGGCTGAGGCAGGAGAATCACTTGAACCCAGGAGACGGAGGCTGCAGCAAGCCAAGATCTTGCCACTGTACTCCAGCCTGGGCAACAGAGTGAGGCAGAGTGTCTCAAGAGAAAAAAAAAAACAGGATTAATACTCTACCTATTCTGCTTTTGTTTTTTTAAATAACTTAATCACATCTGTAAAAACTTTTACAACATTACATGTAACCAGCTCCTGGCGTGTGATAGCTTTGCAATAAATATTTGCTGAGTGAATGAACCAATGAATGAATGAATGAATTTTAGAATATTGTGAGCCACAGAATAATGAAAGGAGGGGGGGTGGTAGGTATCCAGCTGGAGGAAGGGTGGATAGAGTAGGAATGAAATCCTAAACAGTGAAATTTAAAAAAAAAAAAATAGCGGGAGTGGGGCGTGTCCAGCTTCCGGAGCGAGCAGGGAATGCTGAACGGGGCGGAGCAGTGATGAATGCACTGCATCAGCAAGAAGAGATCCGTCTAAAAAAAAAAAAAAAGATGAAAAGGAATCTTAGAGAATGTCTTGTGCATTCTCCCTGCCACTGCCAGTCTCTCCTCAGTGGCAGTGCTGGCTGGTCATGGTCCAGTCTCTCTGGGAAGACTCCGTTTCTGGAGCTCACATTCTCAGGAGCCTTTCCGCCTTCTTTCCTCCTAGGTTAGCAGACATGTTAACAAGCAAAAGATCTGAATGTAAACCTGGTGGTTTTTGACTGAGTGTCCCTCAACTTTCTCAATGGTCACTTTATTTTTTGTGTAATGTTTTAGTCTTATATTGCTATGTAACAAATCACTATAATTTAGTGGCTTCAAATGACACCCATTTATGAGCTTACAATTCTGCAGGCCAGAAGTGCCAGCTGGGTTCTCTGCTCAGGCTCTTAGGAGGCTGGAACGAAGCCTCCTTTCTGGAGGCTCTGGGGAAGAAATCACAGCCAAGTTCATTTCAATTGTTGGTTCGATTTAACCGCTTACAGCTGTAGGATTTAGGTCTCCATTTCCTTACAGGCTGTTAGTCAAGGGACACCCTCAGATCCTAGAAGCCATCTATATTGCTGGCTAAGTGGCCTCCTCCATCTCAAAGGAACATCTTCCTCACATCAAATCTCTCCCATGCTTTGCATCTCCAACTCCCGGTCTTTGAGCTCTAGACCCAGATTTTTTTTTTTTTTTTTTTTTTTTTTGAGACGGAGTCTCACTCTGTCACCCAGGCTGGAGTGCAGTGGCCGGATCTCAGCTCACTGCAAGCTCCGCCTCCCAGGTTTACGCCATTCTCCTGCCTCAGCCTCCTGAGTAGCTGGGACTGCAGGCGCCCGCCACCTCGCCCGGCTAGTTTTTTGTATTTTTTTAGTAGAGACGGGGTTTCACGGGGTTAGCCAGGATGGTCTCGATCTCCTGACCTTGTGATCCGCCCGTCTCGGCCTCCCAAAGTGCTGGGATTACAGGCTTGAGCCACCGCGCCCGGCCTTAGACCCAGATTTAAATCTCATGTAATTAGACCAGGCCCTCCCAGAAAACTCTCTCTGTTTTAAAGTCAAGTGATTTGGGACTGGAATTACATCTGAAAAATCCGTTCACAACACGTAGATTAGTGTTCGAATAACTGGGAGAAGGTTTGTGTTCACCCAGGCCAGGAATTTGACGGATCATCTTGGAGTTCTTCTTCCCACATATAGTTTTATTTATTTATCTTTTTCCGAGGCAGAGTCTTACTCTGTTGCCCAGGCTGGAGTGCAGCGGCGCCACCTCAGCTCACTGCAACCTCTGTCACCTGTGTTCAAGCAATTCTCCTGCCTCAGCCTCCCGAGTAGCTGGGACTACAGGTGTGTGCCACCACACCTCGCTAATTTTTGTACTTTTAGTAGAGACAGGTTTTCTCTATGTGGGCCAGGCTGGTCTTGAACTCCTGACCTGAAGGGATCTGCCCACCTCAGCCTCCCAAAATGCTGGGATTACAGGCATGAGTCACCGCACCTGGCCCACATATACTTTTTGTTGAAGTATCACACACATGCAAAAATGCACAAGGCTCAGCTTGACAAATTCTCACGAACTGTACACACCCATTAATCAACATACTGGTCAAGAAACAGAACATGATCAGCCTGCAGAAGCCCCACCCCACCGTGTCTTCTTCACTCCTTACCTCCCCTAAGGGAATCACTATCCTTATTTCTAATGCCACAGATTACATTAGCCTGTTTTTGAGCTTTATATAACTTGAGCTACATAGTTTTGTAATTTATACTGTTTGTGAGATGCACTCACGTTGTCACATGTAATTTAGTTCGTTCTTTGTGTATAACAATCCATGGTACGAATATACTACTTGTGGTAGACGGAATAATGACACCCAAAGATGTCTGAATCTTTATAGCTTTTCTGTAAATATATATTTATTCCAAAATTAAAATTATTTTTAAAAAGCAAGGTATGCAGTAGAATCAGATACTTGCAGAAACCAATATCCAACAAAAAACCATACCCAGAAAATATATCTATATATAATAGAGATATTACTAGAAATCGGTAAGTAATCCCTGGAATCTGTAAATGTGTTACCTTCTATGGCAGAAGGGACTTTGCAGATGTAAGTAAGGATCTTGACGGAGGATTACCCTGGATTATCTGAGTGGGCCCAGTCCAATCACAAGGGTCCCTTTAAGTGGCAGAAGAAGGTCAGAGAGAGAGACCTTTGGAGATGCTGTGTGCTGCTGGCTTTGAAGACAGAGGAAGGAGCCACAAGCTAAGGAATGCAGGCAGCCTCTAGAAGCTGGCAAAGGCAAGCAAACAGATTCTCCTGTGGAGCTTCCGAAGGAACACAGCCCTGCCCACACTCTGACATTGGCTTAGTAACACACATGTTAGGCTTCTTACTTCCAGAAGTGTAAGATAATACATTTGTGTTGTTTTATGGCACTAAATTTGTGGTAATCTGTTACAGCAGCAATTGGAAACTAATACAGAAACTTTACCAATTTTTTTTTTTTTTTGAGACAGACTCTCGCCCTGTTGCCCAGGCTCGAATCCAGTGGCGCAATCTCAGCTCACTGCAACCTCCTCCACCTCCTGGGTTCAAGAGATTCTCTGCCTCAGCCTCCCGAGTAGCTGGGAGTACAGGCGTGTGCCACCATGCCCAGCTAATTTTTTGTATCTTTAGTAGAGGCAGGGTTTCACCGTGTTAGCCAGGATGGTCTCAATCTCCTGACCTTGTGATCCGCAGATCTTGGCCTCCTAAAGTGCTGGGATTACAGTCGTGAGCCACCGTGCCCGGCCTACCTATTTTACTGCTGAAGGACACTGGGCTTTTCCCAGGTTGGGCTGTTACAAATAGTGCTGCTATACATATTCTTGTACATTTCTCTTGGTGAGAAAACACACCTGTCTTTCTTTTCTCTTTCTTTCTTTCTTTTTCTTTCTTTCTTTCCTTCTTTCTTCCTCTTTTCTTTCTTTTTCTTTCTTTTTTCTTTCTTTCCCTCCCTCCCTCCCTCCCCTTTCTTTTTTCTTTTCTTTTTCCTTCCCTCCCTCCCTCCCTCCCTCCCTCCCTCCTTCCTTCCTTCCTTCCTCCCTTCCTTCCTTCCTTCCTTCCTTCCTTTCCTTCCTTCCTTCCTTCCTTCCTTCCTTCCTTCCTTCCTTCCTTCCTTCCTTCCTTCCTTCCCTCCTTCCTTTGTATGGAGACAGTATCTCACTATGTTGCCCAGGCTGATCTTGAATTCCTAAGCTCAAGCGATTCTCCCACCTCAGCCTCCCAAAGTGCTGGAATTACAGATGTGAGCCACTGTGCTGGGCCCACGCTTGCATTTCTGTGAGATACATACCTAGGATTGGCATTGCTGGATCATAAAGAATGGGTGTGGTTCTCTGTAATAGAAGCAAGCAGTTTTCCAAAGTGGTTATGCCAATTCACACCCTTATCAGAAGCATATGAGTTCAGCTTGTTCCACATCCCTAGTAACACTTGGTATTGTCTGCAATTTAATTTTAGCCGTTATAGTGAGTGTGTAGTGATATTGTACTGTGATTTCCAATTCTCTGATGTCTTAAGGAATGAAAAATATTTGCATGAACTTACTGGTATTTTGGATAGCTTGTTTTTTGTGAAATGCTTATCCAAGACTTCTGCCAATTTTTCTACAGGATTATCTTTTTTCGTATTGCCTTACATAAGAATTTTTTTTTTTTTTCTTGGCCAGGCGCGGTGGCTCATGCCTGTAATCCCAGCACTTTCGGAGGCTGAGGCGGGCAGATAACTTGAGGTCAGGAGTTTGAGACCAGCCTGGTCAGCACGGTAAAACCCCGTCTCTACTAAAAATACAAAATTAGCTGGGTGTGGTGGTGTGCACCTGTAATCCCAGCTACTTGGAAAGCTGATGCAGGAGAATTGTTTGAACCTTGGAGGCAGAGGTTGCAGTGAGCCGAGATTATGCCACTGCACTCCAGCCTGGGCAAAAAGAGTGAGATTCCATCTCAAAAAAAAAAAAAATTATATATATATACCCATGTATACATTTTTTTCTGGATAAAATTTATTTTCTGAATATTAGTTTTCACAAATATATTCTGTTAGCTTATCTTCATAAAATTTTGAAATAAATGTATATTTATTCTTCTATAAATGTATAATTATAGAAAAGTTGCAAAGATAGTACAGACAGTTCCTGTATCCACTTCACCCAGTTTCCCCTCATATTATCATCTTAAATTACCTTAGTACATTTGTCAAAAGTAATAATTTAAGATTGGTAATTTACTATTAACTAAACTAGAGATTTATTTGGATTTCACCAGTTGGTATATCCCATTACATTTAGTCATTATATCTTCTTAGTCTCCTTTGATCTGTGGCCGTTTGTTAGTCTTTCCTTATTTTTCATGACCTTGACAGTTCTGAAAAGTATTGGTAAGGTATTTTGTAGAATGTCCCTCAATTTGGATTTTTTTTTCTTTTGCCCAGGCTGGAGTGCAATGGCATGATCTTGGCTCACTGCAACCTCTGCGTCCCGGGTTCAAGTGATTCTCCTGCCTCAGCCTCCCAAGTAACTGGGATTACAGGCATGCACCATAACGCCTGGCTAATTTTTGCATTTTTAGTAGCGATGGGGTTTCACCATGTTGGTCTGGCTGGTTTTGAACTCCTGACCTCAGATGATACACCAGCCTGGCCTCCCAAGGTTCTGGGATTACAAGCGTGAGCCACTGTGCCTGGCCTCAGTTTGGATTTGTCTGATGGTTTTCTCATGATTAAACTGGGATTGTGGATTTGGGAAAGGAGAACCATGGAGGTGATATGAGCTTCTCATCATATCATATCATATCATATCATATCATATCATATCATACCATACCATATGAGGGCATATGTGATGTCAACATGACTGATTACTGGTGATGCTGAAGTTAATCCCTTGGTTAAGGTAGTGTCTATCACATTTCTCCACTGTAAAAATAATGTTCTCTTTCCATATTCTTTTTTTACTTTTAAATTTTAATCTATTTATTTATTTTGAGACAGGTTATGAGACTGGCTCATTTTTGTACTTTTGGTAGAAATGGGGTTTCACCATGTTGCCAAGGCTAGTCTTGAACTCCTGGGCTGAAGCGATCCACCCACCTCAGCCTCCCAAAGTGCTGGGATTAAAAGTGTGAGCCACTGTGAGCTGCCTCTTTCCATATACTATTATTTGAAAGTGAGTCCAGTCCGCATTCAACGGGAGGGAAACTAACTTTCATCTCCTGAAGGAATGGATTTTTTTGTTTGTTTGTTTTGTTTTGTTTGAGATGGAGTCTCCCTCTGTCACCCAGGCTGGAGTGCAGTGGCGTGATCTCAGCTTACTGCAACCTCCGCCTCCTGGGTTCAAGCAATTCTCTGCCTCAGCCTCCTGAGTAGCTGGGATTACAGATGCCTGGCTAATTTTTGTATTTTTAGTAGAGATGGGGGTTTCACCATCTTGGCCAGGCTGGTCTTGAACTCCTGACCTCGTGATCCACCCACCTTGGCCTCTCAAAGTGCTGGGATTACAGGTGTGAGTCACTGCTCCCAGCCAAGGAATGGAATATTCACATATATTGTTTGGAGTTCTTCTGTAAGAAAGACTTTTTTATTAAATCATTTATTTATATAGGCTCATGTATAATCACGTAGTTTAAATACTTTGGGTTATAATTCAACGACGTTTTTCCTTTATTTAGTAGATACTACATTCTTTACCTTATTTCCCAAATTGCTCCAACTTTGGCCATTGGGAGCTCTTCCACATTGCCTCCTGTGTCCTTTGACCTTCCTCCATCTTCTTCTCTTTTTATTTTTTAGCACTGCCTTAATTTCGGCACCGAGGTGGTACTGCAGAGAAAAGCAAACACACTCCAGAACCCGTGCACTGGATCCAGGAGTGGGTGGTGGAAAGGGATGTGGAGGGAGGGGTCTGAACTCTAACACTAAAGACAGAGACTTAGGAGACCGGGAAGGGGTGTTTATGGAAAGTCAGGGAATTTTACTCCCCGAGGGGAGGAATCCTGTGTCATCCATCTTTGAGTCCCCTCCCCTGGGCTCAGAACAGTAAACCACGGGGTGAACAAGGACCATTCCACTGCCTCTCCCAGGTTCTCCAACTCTGTGGCTTACTATGGCCTGGCCATGGACCTGCAGAAGTTTGGGCTCAGCCTTTACCTGGTGCAGGCCCTGTTTGGAATCATCGACATCCCGGCCATGCTCGTGGCCACCGCCACCATGATTTACATGGGCCGCCGGGCCACGGTGGCCTCCTTCCTCATCCTGGCCGGGCTCATGGTGATCGCCAACATGTTTGTGCCAGAAGGTGAGTCACCCACTTCTGCCCTTGCTGCCCACCAAGAACTGGGAACCTCTGGGGTCTGATAGACAACAAATTTCACGTGGCAACAATGCTGAGGGGTGTGTCTCCGGATCTGAAAAGAAAGCAACTGTTAGGCTGAGAACGGTGGCTCACACCTGTAATCCCAGCACTTTGGGAGGCCAAGGCGGGCAGATCACCTGAGGTTAGGAGTTCCAGACCAGCCTGGCCAACGTGGTGAAACCCCGTCTCTACTAAAAATACAAAAAAATTAGCTGGGTGTGGCGGTGTGCACCTGTAATCCCAGCTACTTGGGCGGCCAAGGCAGGAGAATCACTTGAACCTGGAAGGTGAAGGTTGCAGTGACCAAGATCGTGCCATTGCAATCCAGCATGGGTGACAGAGCAAGACTCCACCTCAAAGAAAAAAAAAAAGAAAGAAAAAGAAAAAGAAAGCGACTGTTGATTACTAGAGTTTGTATTAAGCACTTAGTGCCCAGTGGCAATTAGGGGCAGGTGGAGGCCTTGAGCCTTGGCCCTCAGAGCTTCTACTGTGTGGCCAGGGAGGTTAGACAGGTGCATCTAAGTGGCTGGAGAGCACAGGAGCTGGCTCCGTGTGGCCAGCATTGTGTGCGGCCCCTGAAGTCTGAGCAGGCAGCATGTCCAAGGGTTGAGAAGTTAGGATTCAAACCTCAGCTGGACTGGCCCTGGAACAGTGGTTTGCAAACCTGGCTAAAATGACCTTCACTGGGAGCGCTTTGAAAACTCCCAGGGCCCGGGTGCTCCATGCCAGTGCCCTGGGAATCTCAAGGAGTGGGACTTAACCCTCAGTATTTTACAAACTGTCCAGTGAGTCCAGCAAGACGTCAGGTTTGAATAGCAGCAACATAGAGCATGTGATAAGCCCTTTGCCCATTGTGACTGCAGCCTTGGCTGTGGGCAGGTTGTCCAACTTCTCTGTGCCTCGGCTCTTTACCTGTAAAAGTGGATAAATGTTATTATTGGTATCTTGACCTATTTTCTTCCAATCTTTTTTTCCTATTTATAGATTTGTATTTAGCATAGTTGAGATCATATTTTATATGTTTATATATACAAAAATGTAAATAGGATACATATATCTATATGTATATATGTGCATTTGTACATATATATAATGTGCCCTTCTTTCATTGTATGTTGAAACATACACATGCTTTTCCATGTTAGCACAAATGTTTCATGGACCTGATGATCACTCATCGCCCAGACTGGAGTGCTGTGGTGCTCACTGCAACCTCTGCCTCCTAGGTTCAGGTGATTCCCCTGCCTTAGCCTGCAGAGTAACTGGGATTAGAGATGTGTGCCACCATGCCCGGTTAATTTTTGTATTTTTAGTAGAGACAGGGTTTCATCATTTTGGCCAGGGTGGTCTCGAACTCATGACCTCAAGTGATCTGCCCACCTTGGCCTCCCAAAGTGCTGGGATTACAGTCATGAGCCACTGTGCCTGGCCTCATGGACCTGATTTTTTATTACTATACGATCCTTCCTTCCTTCCTTCCTTCCTTCCTTCCTTCCTTCCTTCCTTCCTTCCTCCCTCCCTCCCTCCCTTCCTCCTTTCCTCCCTGCATTTCTTCCTTCCTTTTTCTTTCTTTTCTTTTTTTTTTTTTTTTTTTTTTTTGAGACGGAGTCTCGCTGTGTCGCCAGCTGGAGTGCGTGCCGGATCTCACTCACTGCAGCTCCCCCCGGTTTACCCATTCTCCTGCTCAGCCTCCGAGTAGCTGGACTACAGGCGCCCCCCCTCGCCCGCTAGTTTTTTTTTTTAGTAGACGGGGTTTCACCATGTTAGCCAGGATGGTCTCGATCTCCTGACCTTGTGATCCGCCCGTCTCGGCCTCCCAAAGTGCTGGGATTACAGGCTTGAGCCACCGCGCCCCTTTCTTTTCCTTTTTGAGACAGAGTCTCACTCTATGGCTCAGGCTGGAGTACAGTGGCACAATCGTGGCTCACTGCAGCCTCGACCTCCCAGACTCAAGCAATCCTCCCACCTTAGCCTCCTGAGTAGCTGGGACTACAGGTGCATTCCACCACACCTGGCTAATTTTCTGTATTTTTGTGTAGAGACAGGGTTTGCCATGTTGCCTAGGCTGGTCTCAAGCTCCTGGGCTCAAGCGATCTGGCTGCCTTGGTCTCCCAAAGTGCTGGGGTTATAGACGTGAGCCACTGCACCCAGCCTAGATAATGTTTCATCTGGATTGGTGTTTCTAACTCTGGCTTCACAATAGAATCTCTTGGGAACCTTTAAAAAATACCCAAATTCAAGCCTATCCGCAGTCGGTCTTGCTAGAGTGGGTAGTGAGTAAGACCCAGGTGTGAGTGTTTTATAAAATCTCCGCACCTGATTCCAGTGTGCAGCAGCCAGTGCTGCCATCCAGCCAGAGAAGGCACCATCATTTCCTTGACTGCTGCCCCAATGTTGGATGTCTGAATAGGGGTTTTGCTATTTATAAACAACAGCAGGATAAGCATATTGAAAATGAGGGCAATGGGCTGGGCGCGGTGGCTCATGCTTGTAATCCCAATACTTTGGGAGGCCGAGGCGGGTGGATCACCTGAGGGCAGGAGTTCGAGACCAGCCTGGCCAACATGGTGAAACCCCGTCTCTACTAAAAATAATAAAATTAGCTGGGCATGGTGGTGCGCACCTGTAATTCCAGCTACTCAGGAGGCCGAGGCAGGAGAATCGCTTGAACCCAGGAGGCAGAGATTGCAGTGAGCCAAGATTGTGCCACTGCACTCCAGCCTCAGTGACAGAGTGAGACTCTATCTCAAAAAAAAAAAAAGAAAAAAAAAAGGAAAAGAAAGAAAATGAAGGCAATGGCAAACATTTAATGGGCACTTTGCATCCCTGGCATCATGTCCAGCTTACACCAACCCCATGAAGCAGGTGCTGCTATTTTCCTCTTTTTTTTTTTTTTTTTTTTTTTGAGATGGAGTCTCGCTCTGTCGCCCAGGCTGGAGTGCAGTGGTGCAATCTCAGCTCACTGCAAACTCCACCTCCCGGGTTCACGCCATTCTCCTGCCTCAGCCTCCCGAGTAGCTGGGACTACAGGTGCCCGCCACCACGCCCAGCTAATTTTTTGTATTTTTAGTAGAGACGGAGTTTCACCATGTTAGCCAGGATGGTCTCGATCTCCTGACCTCGTGATCCGCCCGTCTCGTCCTCCCAGAGTGCTGGGATTACAGGCGTGAGCCACTGTACCCGGCCAATCTTCCTCATTTTACCAATGAGGACAGGGAGGTGCAAAGGGGGTAAGAAACAGTGACCAAGGTCAGCCAGCGGGGTGAGAGCTGCGATTTGAATCCAGGCCTGACTCTAAAGCACCTGCCTACCCAGCAGGACTTGGCAGCAGATGCAAATAAGGGAGCAAGGAGGCAGAAGTCAGAGAAGGGCAGTTGGGGGACTCCTGGGTCCCAGAAACAGTTGGGAAGGGGAGATGGTGGAAATCCTGGTTCTTCTCTGGGTTCTGAGTGGGCTCTGCCTCTTCCCCCCGGCCTATCCCCTCCTGAGGCTCCGCCCCTCTCCACTGCACCCTGGGCCTCCCCCTCCTCCCTCCCTCCTCAGCTCCACCCCACTGCCCTGTCTAGGCATGCAGATCCTGCGCACGGCCCAGGCAGCGCTGGGCAAAGGCTGCCTGGCCAGCTCCTTCATCTGCGTGTACCTGTTTACAGGCGAACTGTACCCCACAGAGATCAGGTGGGTGCATGGGGGGAGACACTGCAGGTTGAGACCTGCTGGGCTCACTGAGGCAGGATCCCCGGTCCCTCCTGTCCTCTGACACTCAGGGCACGGCTCTCTTGGGCCCCTAGGGGGGCAGGTCGCTGCACTGACCCATCCACACACCTCCCACAGGCAGATGGGGATGGGCTTCGCCTCGGTCTACGCCCGCCTCGGGGGCCTGGCGGCACCCCTGGTTACCACACTTGGGGAGTACAGCACCATCCTGCCGCCTGTGAGCTTCGGGGCCACCGCAGTCCTGGCTGGGCTGGCTGGCTGCTTCCTGACCGAGACCCACAATGCACCCCTGGTAGAGACCATCGCAGCGATGGAGAGAAGGTGAGGGGCCTCCTGCACCAACAGGTCGAAAGTTACAGGAAATAACTGGGGGGCAAATGGGGTGCTCTCCTCACTCCTGCGCATCGGAAACATCCTGGCTGGATGCACCAGAGCTGTGAGATGCCTCCCCCACCTCTATCTACAATGGCTTAGCTTTCCCCAAGAACGGACCCGATCATGAAGGTTTTTTTTTTTTTTTTTTTTTTTTTTTTTTTTGACGGTCTCGCTCTCCCCCAGCTGGAGTCATCCATCTCACTCCCCCCCTCCCTTCCCCTCCTCCCCTCCCGTAGTTGACCCGCCCCCCGCTTTTTTTTTTTTTTAGTAGACTTCACCTGCCGGTTCCTCTCCTACCCCCCGTCTCCCCCAAGTCGGACCACTGGCACCCCCGCCATGAAGGTTTTAAAAAGAATAAACTGTGAACCAGGAAACACGTGGGTTGGAAGTGAGAACTGGCAGAGAAGTGGGGAGAGGACAGCAGGGGAAACTGAAGCAAACACAGGCCCCCGTGGTTGCTGTGCAGGCTTCAAATTTGGTTCTGGGCTTCCTCCCAACAGAAAGGGAGACCCCATTCATGACTACTCTTGGAGAGGAAAACGAATACCAGCCCCTCAGGAGAGCGAAGCTTTCCATTTTCCTCAGCATTTAGCACTAGGAGAGGTTTCTCTTCTCTTCTTGGCCTCTTTTTTTTTTTTTTTTTTTTTTTTTTTTTTTTTTTTTTGAGATCATCTTGGCTTCAAGTGTGGGTCTCATTAGAAAAGTCACTAAGGTAACAGCAATGCCCTGGACAATGTTTCTAAAACAAACGCAAGAGGGGATTTGATCTGGCTGCTGCTTGCAGCATTTCTTAGCAACAGTGGGCTCAGGGAAGACCTTTAGTTTGCGGGAATGGTGACAGGGACAGTAGCAGGGCCCGTGTGTAACCCTCTCTGAAGATCGGCTTGATCCCAAAGGTGGACCCATCCGTACCCAGTGGCCTGTATAGGTGCTGTGTTTGCAACCCTGAAATGACTCCCATCAACACCCCATCTCTAACCTCAGCCATGGGCCAAGGTTGCACTGTAAGAAATCAAGGATATATTCTTTGGCTAGTCCTATCATTTCTTTTCTTCTTCTTCTTTTTTTTTTTTTTTTTTTTTGAGATGGAGTTTCACTCCGTCGCCCAGGCTGGAGTGTGGTGGCACGATCGCGACTCACTGCAACCTCTGCCTCCCAGGTTCAAGTGATTGTCCTGCCTCAGCCTCCCAAGTAGCTGGGATTACAGGCGTGCACCCTTGCGCCTGGCTAATTTTTGTATTTTTAGTGGAGATGGAGTTTCACCATCTTGGCCAGGCTGGTCTTGAACTCCTGACCTCATGATCCACCCACCTCGGCCTCCCAAAGTGCTGGGATTACAGGCATGAGCCATTGCGCCCAGCCCAAGTCCTATCATTTCTGCCTCCAGAATAGACTTAAATCTGTCATTCTCTCTCCAGCCCTGTGTCCATGGCCCTACATCAAGCCACCATGTATTGTCTCTTGTCTGGACAACTATGAGAGCCTCATATCCTCCCCTGTCCCTGTCCACTTTATTCCCTGCAGGCCAAGCGGGGGAAGACAGGCTTCATCTGGGCGCTGAGCAGGGCTTGGAGAGGATGAGGGTGTGGGAAGCAGAGTGGCAAAGTGCGTGCATGAGCCAGGTGCAGTGGCTCACACCTGTAATCCCAGCACTTTGGGAGACTGAGGCAGGTGGATCACCTGAGGTCAGGAGTTTGAGACCAACCTGGCCAACATTGCGAAACCCCGTCTCTACTAAAAATACAAAAATTAGCCAGGTGTGGTGGTGGGTGCCTGTAGTCCCAGCTACTTGGGAGGCTGAGGCAGGAGAATTGCTTGAACCCGGGAGGTGGAGGTTGCAGTGAGCCGAGATTGTGCCACTGCACTCCAGCCTGGGCGACAGAGCAAGACTCCGTCTCGGTGGGGTGGGGGTGGGGGAGTGGGAAGATTAAGTCAATTGACTAAAATATTATAAATAGAAGAGTTAAAAAGCAGGGATAGAAACATTGATAAAACAGTATGAATGCTGAAAAAAATCCAAATATGGAACCAGCTAAAAGTAGACGGGAGAAATGGGCAAGATATGAAACGATTAAAACAAGAGGATAACAGGCCAGGCATGGTGGCTCACACCTGTAATCCCAGCACTTTCGGAGGCAGAAGCAGGTGGATCACGAGGTCAGGAGTTCGAGACCAGCCTGGCTAACACAGTGAAACCCCGTCTCTGCTAAAAATACAAAAATTAGCCGGGAATGGTGGTGCGCCTGTAGTCCCAGCTACTCAGGAGGCTGAGGCAGGAGAATCGCTTTAACCCAGGAGGTGGAGGTTGCAGTGAGCCGAGATTGCACCACTGCACTCCAGCTTGGGGCGACAGAGCAAGACTTCGTCTCAAAACAAAAAAAACAAAAAAACTAAGATAATTCAGTGGGAAAGCAGTTATCAGTGTCCACAATGCAAAGATAAAAATAAATAGAAGCAATTAGAACATAAATCATTTCAAAGACTAGAGGGTTCTTTTTTAAGGCAATAGGCCAGGCACAGTGGCTCATACCTGTAATCCCAGCACTTTGAGAGGTCGAGGCGGGAGGATCGCTTGAGCCTAGGAGTTCAAGACCAGCCTGGGTAACATAGCAAGACCCTCATTTCTATCCCCCACCCACCAAAAAAAGGCAAAATTGGATCTGGTCAAATAATAGAAAGCCAGTGGGGTAGCCTTGGACTATTTGGGACTGAGGGGGCCTCAAAGTCCAGGCAAGCCCCCCCGCCACCCTCAACCTGCCCTGACTTCTTGAAAAGCCAAACAGGGAAGGGCAGGAGTGGCTCAGAGCCCCAACCTTTGCCCCTCCCTGCCTCCTGGGGTGGGAGAAGAAGGGCGCTAATAGTGCCCAGTCCCTGGGGGTGTCTGCTGGCCCCTGTTCTCCAGCCAAGTGACCTCGGGCACATGTCCAGCCTCTAGGTCCTCATCTGTAAGACTCTTCGTTGAACTCCTTGACCCTGCAGCTCTTTCAAGTCTGTCTCCGGACACGCCAGCCTCTGCCAGCTGCGAGACCCCAGGGATAGAGCAAGGAGGGAGCTGGAGGGACAATAGGAGGGTGGCCGCCAGGGTGCCCGAGATAATCCGGAGGAGGGGCCGCTGCAGCGTTCACCTCCCTTCTGGCTTCAGGAGGGTGGAGCTGCACCCTGTGCATATGGCACCACCCTCCCCACGACATGCACACCGCCTGCCCCTCACCACTGCCTTCTGCCTTTTCATTTCTACAGGGCCAAAGAAGCCTCTTCCAAGAAACATGTAGAAGAGAAGAGTGAAGAAATTTCTCTTCAGCAGCTGAGAACATCTCCCCTCAGAGAAACCATCTAAGCTGCCCGGAGCCTGGTGCTTGCTAGCAGCACCTGAGCCGATGTCCAGACGGCCCCGGGGATACTGGTACTGAACTGGAGGAAAGGTCGCTGAAAACATGTGGCTCCTATAGAGAGCCACCCACAAGCCAGGGCTGCTTGGAGGGAAACTCCCACCAGAAACAGCCAATCTGCGTTACAAATGCATAGAAAGCCAGGAGAAGCCAGTCCCAAGGACCAAAGGAGAGACTGTTTTCCTTTCCCATCCCCAATCTGCCCCTTAAAATGTCTCTGTATTAGTCCATTCTTGCACTCCTATAAAGAAGTACCTGAGATTGGGTCATTTATGAGGAAAAGTGGTTTAATTGACTCACAGTTCTGCAGATTGTACAGGAAGCATGGCTGGGAGGCCTCAGGAAATGTACAATCATTGCAGAAGGCAAAGGGGAAGCAAGCACGTCTTCACATGGCTGGCAAGAGAAAGAGATATTTTATTTTCTTCAAAAATAAAAGTAAAGGCTGGGTGTGGTGGCTCATGCCTGTAATCCCAGCACTTTGGGAGGCCAACACAAAAGGATTACTTGAGTTCAGGAGTATGAGACCAGCCTGGACAAAATAGCAAGACCCTGTCTCTTCAAAAACTTTAAAAATTAGCCAGGCATGGTGGTGGACACCTGTAGTCCTAGCTACTTGGGAGACTGAGGTGGGATAATTGCTTGAGCCAGGGAAGTTGAGGCTGCAGTGAGCCGAGATCATACCACTGCAACTCCACCTTGGGTGACGTAGTGAGAACCTGTCTCAAAAATAAAAGAATAAATAAAATAATAGTCATTCATGGCGAGGCGCTGTGGCTTAAGCCTGTAATCTCAGCACTTTGGGAGGCTGAGGTGGGTAGATCATCTGAGGTCAGGAGTTCAAGACCAGCCTGGCCAACATGGCGAAACCCCATCTCTACTAAAAATACAAAAATTAGCCAGGCATGGTGGTGTGCACCTGTAATCCTAGCCACCCAGGAGGCTGAGGCAGGAGAATCACTGGAACCCCAGGGGCACAGGCTGCAGTGAGCCGAGATTGCACCACTGTACTCCAGCCTGGGTGACAGAGCAAGACTCCATCTCAAAAAATAAAATAAAATAAAATAAAAATAAAATAAAATAAAATAAAATAAAATTTTTGGGGCCGGGCACGGTGACTCATACTTATAATCTCAGCATTTTGGGAGGTTAAGGCGGGCAGATCGCTTGAGCTCAAGAGTTCGAGGCCAGCCTGGGCAACATGGTGAAACCCTGTCTCTAATTCAAAAAGAAGAAAATGATTTTGAGGCCAGGCAGTGGCTCACGCTTGTAATCCCAGTGCTTTGGGAGGCAGAGGCGGTTGGATCACTTGAGTCCACGAGTTCGAGACCAACCCAACCAACATGGGGAACTCGTTTCTACAAAAAAAAAAAGATACAAAAATTTTAAAATAATTGTTTAATTATGGTATTTCTAGGTGCAGTGGCTCGGGCTTGTAATCCCAGCACTTTGGGAGGCCGAGGCAGGCAGATCACCTGAGACCAGCAGTTCGAGACCAGCCTGGCCAACTTGGTAAAATCCCATCTCTACTAAAAAAACAAAAATTAGCCAGGCATGGTGGTACACACCTATAATCCCAGCTACTTGAGAGGCTGAAGCACGAGAATCGCTTGAACCTAGGAGGCGGAAGTTGCAATAAGCCGAGATTGCACCACTGCACTCCAGCCTAGGCAACAGAGAAAGACCCTATCTTAAAGAAAAAAAAAATGTGGTGGCATGGAGTCTGTAGTCCCAGCTACTTGGGAAGCTGAAGCAGGAGGATCACTTGAGCCTGGGAGGCAGAGGTTGCAGTGAGCCAAGATCAGACCACTGTACTCCAGCCTGGGTGCCAGAGTAAGACCTTGTTTTTTTGTTTTGTTTTGGTTTTTTTTTTTGAGACGGAGTCTCGCTCTGTCGCCCAGGCTGAAGTGCAGTGGCCAGATCTCCGCTCACTGCAAGCTCCGCCTCCCGGGTTTACGCCATTCTCCTGCCTCGGCCTCCGGAGTAGCTGGGACTACAGGCGCCCGCCACCTTGCCCGGCTAGTTTTTTTTTAAATTTTTTAGTAGAGACGGGGTTTCACTCTGTTAGCCAGGATGGTCTCGATCTCCTGACCTCGTGATCCGCCCGTCTCGGCCTCCCAAAGTGCTGGGATTACAGGCTTGAGCCACCGCGCCTGGCTTGTTTTTTGTTTTTTTAAAAAAGTTTTTGGTACAAGTCCCTATCAGTGCAAACAGCTAGAGTATCTGATGGTGCAGCTATACCCCTTAGCTGGATATATGAAAGACCAGAGACCAGCCAGAGGTGGTGGCTAACAACTGTAATCTCAGCACTTTGGGAGGCCAAGGCAGGTGAATCACCTGAGGTCAGGAGTTCAAGACCAGCCTGGCCAACATGGTGAAACCCTGTCTCTATTAAAAATACAAAAATTAGCTGGGTGTGGTGGTGCATGCCTGTAATCCCAGCTACTCGGGAGGCTGAGGCAGGAGAATTGCTTGAACCTGGGAGGTGGAGGTTGCAGTGAGCCGAGATTGCACCACTGTACTCTAGCCTGAACAACAGTGAGACTTCATCTCAAAAAAAAAGAAAGAGGGAGAGAGAGAGAGACAGAAAGGGAGAAAGAAAGAAAGAAAGAAAGAAAGAAAGAAAGAAAGAAAGAAAGAAAGAAAGAAAGAAAGAAAGAAAGAAAGAAAGAAAGAAAGAAAGAAAGAAAGAAAGAAAGAAAGAAAGAAAGAAAGAAAAGAAAAGAAAAGAAAGAGAGAGGGAAAGAAAGAAAGGCCAGAGACCAAAATACTTAGGCCAGGTGGCAAAGGCTTCAGCTGCAGCTCATCTGAGTCTTGGCAGGGCATCTTGCCATCATCCAGAGGGTGAAAGGCCTATAGGAGCTGCTACCAGGCCACCTCCCATTGGCCTCCCCATTTCCCCTGGCAGCTGTCATGAGACGGTTCTGCATCACCTCCAGGTTCTGTGAGATCTGAGGCTCTCTGCCCTGCCCTCCTCTAAATAGAGCTGCAGAAGATAAAATTACTCAGCTGTATCTGGAATAGGCTCCTCAGCTACGGGGCATCCCCTAACTCCCCTTTCAGCCACCAGCCCCTTCTCTTTCAGGGTCATCCTTTTTGGTGTAGGGGACAAGGACCGCAGGGGCTGGCATCTTAGGCTTGTCCTCCTTTTTGCTGTCTATGTAAAGAATAAACCCTAGGCTGGGCGCGGTGGCTCAAGCCTGTAATCCCAGCACTTTGGGAGGCCGAGACAGGTGGATCATGAGGTCAGGAGATCGAGACCATTCTGGCTAACACGGTGAAACCCCGTCTCTACTAAAAAATACAGAAAACTAGCCAGGCGAGGTGGCGGGCGCCTGTAGTCCCAGCTACTCCGGAGGCTGAGGCAGGAGAATGGCGTAAACCCGGGAGGCGGAGCTTGCAGTGAGCCAAGATCCAGCCACTGCACTCCAGCCTGGGCGACAGAGCGAGACTCCGTCTCAAAAAAAAAAAAAGAATAAACCCTAAATCTAAAAGTGGTTCATCGTGCCTTGCAGGTCAAATCAGTCAGGTGAATCCTTTCCAGAAGGTTTTCAATTTACTTTGCCCAGATCCATCAGAGGAATCACTTTCCACGGCAGCTACAGCCTTACAAAAATGTCTTTTTTTTTTTTTTTTTTTTTTTGAGATGGAGTCTTGCTCTGTTGCCGAGGCTAGAGTGCAGTGGCACGATCTCAGCTCACTGCAACCTCCGCCTCCCAGGTTCAGGCAATTCTCCTGCCTCAGCCTCCCAAGCAGGTGGGATTACAGGCGCCCACCACATCCGGATAATTTTTGTATTTTTAATAGAGACAGGGTTTCACCATGTTGGCCAGGATGGCTTCGAACTCCTGACCTCAAGTGATCCGCCCGCCTCAGTATCCCAAAATTCTGGGATTACAGGCCTGAGCCACCGCGCACGGCCACAAAATGTATTTCTTAAATAATAAAACTTAAGAGTTGAAATTATTCCTTCACCTGCTGCAGAATGGATGTTGTGTTCACAGGCGTGAAAACATTCATCTCCGTGCGCATCTCCATCAGATGTCTCGGGTGACCAGGTCCATTGTCAATGAGCAGTAATGTTTGAAAGGAATCTTTTTTTTCTGAGCAACAGGTGTCAACAGTGGGTTTAAAAAGATTTAGCAGGGCCAGGTGCCGTGGCTCATGCCTGTAATCCTAGCACTTTGGGAGGCTGAGGCGGGCAGATCACGTGGTTCTAGGCTCTAGATTTAGTCTCTGCTGTCTAACTAGGTTGTCACTGCCACATGTAGCTATAGACATTTTTTAAATTAGTTAAAACTACATGAAATTTAAAATGTAATTCCTCAGCTTCTCTAGCCCCACTCCAAGTGTTCAGTAGCCATATGGGGCGGGCAGCTACCGAATCTAGCGGCACACATCTAGAACATTTCCACCACTGCCCTCCTCTCGCGGCTTCTGCTCCAGCGTTGGTCCTACTGAGGCACTGGCACAAAGACTCCCTCATTTGCAAGAGAAGCCCCACTCCTAAAGAGTTCTAAATGCTTTTAACACATAAGGTAATGCATGGTGAATATGGCTGTTATGGGTGATGTCCTACCATTCTAGACGGAAGTTCTGTGCAAGAGAGGATGACTATGCAGAATTGCAAAAGAAGGAAAAAAGTTTAAATAACGTGTCCATTGTTATCTCCTTGGGGCCACCATTCTTGTGTTCCCAGGACTACTTCTCTCTTAGCAAGCACTCATTCAAGGGCAAGCCAAGGTCAGTTGTCATACAATCCTAGCCCACACCCAGCTCACTCAGGAGAGGAAACCCAGCCAGGTCTCCTGGCTCCCCAGCCAGGGCTGTTCCTAGCACACTCCTCCCTTCTCACAGCCGTCAGCAGGTCTCAGAAGGCTATGGTGAGGATTATAATACAGCCTCACTGAGCAGAAAGGGAGCAACTGAGACACCCAAGTCCAAAGAAGGGCAGTTCACCAGAGTGGTCCCACCCTGCTGCTGGCTTCAAGTAAAGGGGCCCTCTGGCATTAGCTGGGAACAACTGTGAACACAGCCGGCTTCATGGGCGGGCAACCTGTGCAACTGCATAGAGCCCCGAGTTCAGAAGAGTCCCACACTTGGTTCATGTTCTGCTTGAACTCCTGGCCTCAAGTGATCCACCTGCCTCAGCCTAGAAGAAAAAAGGAAAAAATCTTTGTGATCTTGGGTTATGCAAAATTTCTTAGGAAACAAAAAGCACAAACCATAAAAGAAAAAATGATAAACTGGATTTCATCAAAATTAAAAACATCTCTTCAATGGCCGGGTGCAGTGGTTCACACCTGTAATCCCAGCACTTTGGGAGGCCGAGGCGGACAGATCACTTGAGGTCAGCAGTTCAAGACCAGCCTGGCCAATGTGGTGAAACCCCATCTCTGCTAAAAGTACAAAAATAGCTGGGCGTGGCAGTGGGCACCTACAGTCCCAGCTACTAGGGAGGCTGAGGCAGGAGAATTGCTTGAGCTCGGGAGGGGAAGTTTGCAGTGAGCCGAGATCGCATTACTGCACTCCAGGCTGGGCAACAGAGCGAGACTCCGTTTCAAAAAAAAAAAAAAGAACAAGAAAAAGGCCTCTTGGGTCAGGTTGAGAGGCTTAGTCTTCATCCTAAAATTAAGAGGAACTCACTGACAGGGTTCTAAGGGGACGAGGAATGCTGACATGATCAGACTTAAATTTTAAGCAGATGACAGTGGCCTCCATAGGGAGAACTATGGGAGGGTGGGAACAGTCATGGCACACAGGGCTGCCTAAGGAGTAAAGATAACTTGGGGGAGGTGGCCAATAAGGTGCCCATCCCAGCTGCTGTTATTATTCCCTCTGAGCTCCCACCACCTTCACCACGGGTCTAACTCAGTGCCTCAGACATAGTAGTAACTCAATAAACAGTTGCTAATAGGTTCAAAGTTCAGAGCTTCGGATTTTTTTTCAGACAGAATCTTGCTCTGTCACCCAGGCTGGAGTACAGTGGTGCAGTCTTGGCTCACTGCAACCTCCACCTCTTGGGTTCAAGCGATTCTCCTGCCTCAGCCTCCTAAGTAAGCTGTGATTACAGGCACCCGCCACCATGCCCAGCTAATTTTTGTGTTTTTAGTAGAGATGGGGTTTCCCATGTTGGCCAGGCTGGTCTTGAACTCCTGACCTCAGGCGATCTGCCTGCCTCGGCCTCCCAAAGTGCTGGGATTACAGGCGTGAGTCACCGTGCCCAGCCCAAGCTTTGTTTTTTTAAATCTTGCCTCCCACAATGCAGAAAGCCTTAGTTTCAGATAACAGCATGGGGAAGAAAGAAAATTTGGGAGGAAGAAAATTTGAATAACAACAATATTGATGTTGGCAAGGATGTGAAGAAAAGGGAACTCTTTTTTTTTTTTTTTTTTTGAGGCAGAGTCTTGCTCTGTTGTCCAGGTTGGAGTGCAGTGGCGTAACCTCAGCTCACTGCAATCTCCACCTCCCGGGTTCAAGCAATTCTCCTGCCTCAGCCTCTTGAGTAGCTGGGATTACAGGCGACTGCCACCACGCCTGGCTAATTTTTTTTTTTTTTTGAGACAGAATCTCACTCTGTTGCTCAGGCTGGAGTGTAGTGGCATAATCTTGGCTAACTGCAACCTCTGCCTCCCTGGTTCAAGTGATGCTCCTGCCTCAGCCTCCCGAGTAGCTGTGATTACAGGCACCCGCCATCGTACCCGGCTAATTTTTGTATTTTTAGTAGAGACGGGGTTTCACTATGTTGGCCAGGCTGGTCTCGAACTCCTGACCTCAGGTGATCCACCCGCCTCAGCCTCCCAAAGTCCTGGAATTACAGACGTAAGTCACGTGCCTGGCCACGCCCGGCTAATTTTTTGTATTTTTAGTAGAGACGAGGTTTCACCATGTTGGCCAGGCTGGTCTCAAACTCCTGACCTCAGGTGATCCACCCGCCTCAGCCTCCGAAAGTGCAGATTATGCACTCTTAACACAACCCAATAACACTCATCACACCAAAGGAGGCCATGCTGAAGCCGGTGCCATCAGAAACAGGAAGAAGGCAAGGATGCCTACCGTGATTCAACAACGATTCCAAGGTTTGGTTCAATGCACCAAGACAGGAAAATAAAATGATTAGTAACAATATTTGAGAAGAAGGGAAAAATATATTTTTATTTGTAAATGTTATTATAATCTAGGAAATCTGAGATTCTCCTAAAACATTAATATTAATAAGAGAATTTGGTCAAAGTGACTGGTTGCAAGAAATATGTCCAAGGCTGGGAGTTGTGGCTCATGCCTGTAATCCCAGCACTTTGGGAGGCTGAGATTGGTGGATCACCTGAGGTCAGAAGCTTGAGGCCAGCCTGGCCAACATGGCGAAACCCCATCTCTACTAAAAATACAAAATTAGCTGGGTGTGGTGGTGGGCACTTGTATTCCCAGCTACTTGGGAGGCTGAGGCACAAGAATCGCTTGAATCTGGGAGGCAGAGGTTGCAGTGAGCTGAGATCACTCTACTGCACTCTAGCCTGGGCAACAGAGTGAGACACTGTCTCAGAAACAAAAACAAAAACAAAAACAAGCCAGGTGTGGTAGTGCATGCCTGTAGTCCCCGCTACTTAGAAGAGTGAGGTTGGGGGATCACTTGAACCCAGGAGACTGAGGCTGCAAAGAGCTTGATCACACCACTGCACTCCAGCCTGGGCAACAAAGCAAGATCCTGTCTCAAAAAAAAAAAAAAAAAAAAAGTAAAATGCTTCAACAGTTTTGGGAAGTTACCGTAAAGCTACTTGGGGCAAACACTACCAAGTGCTTACTTAGTATTAACTCCTTTCTTAGTAACAAAATTTGTATATTGATGGGGTAGCAATGTGTTTCCTCAATAATATTACAATGTAACTTATAAGAAGGCTTTCCCAGCCTCCTTTAAAGATATGGCTATTAAAAAAAATAATAAAAACAAACAAATAAATAAATAAATAAAGATATGGCTATGTGGCTAAAGTCTAAGCAAAAGTGGTTGAGAAGGATTTCTAGAAAGACTCCTCTTCAAAAATGGATAAACAACGGTTTGCAAAAGTCATTTTTTTGTTTCTTTTTTCCATCTTCATTTCATTCCTCTTTTCACTCTCTTTTCTTGTTTATTTGTTTTTAAGTTTTATTTGCCCTTTCTTCTTCCTACTTTCTGCTACCTGGAATGGAATGTGAATCTGATGGCTGGAATTCCAGAAGCCATCTTGTACTATGAGGTGACTGTAAGGATGGAGATTAATTCGAGGACAGTGGAGCAGAAAGATGGAGGCCTGATGAACGTGAAGCCATCATTTTAGCCCTGGGCTACCTATCTCTGAAATTATTTTACCTGACAGAAAAATAAAATTCTGTTTTGTCTCAGCTACTATTGTTTTAGGACTTGGCTATGTCACAGATCTAAAACCCACTTAATTTACTCCTGCAATCAAAATATTATATTGACACAGAAAAGATAACAAATAAATCAGTGGGATAAAACAGAAAATCCAGAAACAGATTCAAGTATTTATGGGGACCGGATACATGAAAGATCACAATTCAAGTCAGTTGGAGAAGAATGTTTTATTTACTAAGTATAACTGCTGACATGCTGGCTGTCTGTCAGGAATAAAAAAAAGCTAAATCCTTCCTCACATCACAAACAAGATTAGTTCTAGGTGGATTAGCAAACTAAAGGCAAAACGTAAGTAAAATTAATAAAACAAAAATTAGAATAATATTTTCATAAGTTTAGGTCGAGGATACCTTATTATACAAAGCAGGAAACCTAAAACCATACAGGCAAATAATTGTACAATGTTGTGTAGAAAAAAAAACACACACACACAAAGCTAAAAGACAGGTTGGGAAAAATACGTATGTAACACATTTGCTATCCATTAGTTACTGCTGATGGTGGGAAACTGCAAACATTTTCCATAAAGAGCCAGATAGTAAACATTTGAGGCTTAAGGGTGTGAAACCTAAAAGAGGTTCATGATGGATCCGGAATGGCTAACTAGGCCTAAATTCAAAATACAGCCAAGCAGCCATTGGCTGACTAGAGGTCACAAGTACTTCAGTTTTGTTTGCTTTCTGAGACACGATCTTGCTCTGTTGCCCAGGCTGGAGTGCAGTGAGGCGATCATGACTCACTGCAGCCTCGACCTCCCGAACTCAAGCAATCCTCCTGCCTCAGCCCCCGGAGTAGCTGAGATCACAGGAACCCGCCACCACCGCCGGCTAATTTTTTGTAGAGAAGGGGTTTCACCGTGTTGCCCAGAATGAACTTGAACTCCTGGGCTCAAGTGATCCGCCCGCCTCAGCCTCCTGAAGTGCTGGGATTACAGGCGTGAGCCACCGCACCCGGCCTGGGACGGGCATTTTTAAGGCTCCTGATACATATTGCTGAATTGTTTTCTAGAAACGCTCTACCATCCCACCAGCAGAGTATGACTCCTACGGTAGAGATTTTTGGCTCAAAGAATTAGGATGTATTTTAAGGGGAGAACCCTCTTCTCATCTTACCCCTAACCTCTATCCTTGAGTGACCTACCTTCACTCCCAAGCCTCCAGTCACCCACTGGGAATCTCTACCTGGAAATCCCAGAGGCACTCAAACTTAACATGTCCACAACTAAATTATTATCTGTCACCTTCCCACCTGATATCCCCCAAAATGCCCCAGATTCAGAAAACATACCCATCACTGTGGCTGGCACCACGGTGATAATCACGATAATAACCATGGCAACCAGATTCCTCACTGAAGCCATTCTTTTAGGATGAACCAAGGGCACAACAGGCAGAGATGACAAGGGGAATGGAGAAGGGGGTAAAGTAAGTTTGAGACAGTTGAAGGCACGCGCACGACAGCGCCTGCGCACCACGGAACAGGGCAAAACGGTGACGAACATGCGCCACTGAGCTTCACCGAGCAGCCGATGCCCAGAAAACAGGTATCCGCACACAGACTCAGTTTCCGTGTAGGTAACCCTGGGGCGTTGCGGGTCGCACCCGGCTTTCTCGCCCAGTGAAAAAGAACTGCGCAGCTGCCGACTGGCTGGCCGCCAGGCGCGTGCGTAGAGACGCCCACACGCCAGGTGATGCGCACGCGCCCTGGGTCGCGCGTGCGCGCGTCGGGTCCCGGAATGAGCCGGGGAAAGCAAGCGGAAGGGTTGGGGTTGGCTCCCGGTTTCGCGCATGCGTGCGCTGCACAAACCATTTGGCGGGTTTTTCCCGGCCACTCTGTTCTGCCACCGTCACTGAGAAACTCAGCGGTAGCTTTTAGGAAGCAGGACGTTCTCTCCAGGAAAGCGTCCTCTCGAGATTTCTGCTCCCTCTATTCAGGGCGTTTGGGGGCCACCCCTTCATTTTTTAAAAAACGTATTTCTCTGTGACCGACGGCCGGGGCCCTCTAACGGTCTGAGGTCTTGCTTGGGCCAGTCACCTCCTGTCACGGTCCGCGGAGGGTGGAAGGATAAGAGGGCGAGGCGCTCATCGCTCGCCAGGCCCGTGGGTTTCTTGGGCACAGGTCGGAGCTGGGTGGGCCGGCTCCCCGGCCCCTGGCTTGGGCGACCATGTCCGCATCCCCCCAGCAGCTGGCGGAGGAGCTGCAGATCTTCGGCCTAGACTGCGAGGAGGCTCTAATTGAGAAATGTGAGTCCGGCACCCCTTCCCGCCCCGCAGCCGTGTTCCACGCTCTCGCCCGAGTTCCTCGGCGCTTAGAACCGAAAGGGGAGCGCTTCCAATTTCCCCCTCCCCTGGAGCGGAGTTCTCGGTGGCTGTGAGAGGAAGAATCAAACTGAGTTTTGAGATTTAGGATGTGGGCACTTTGAAATGCCCACCGGGTACCGCTTGGATGCCAAATCAAAAATACGAATATGCAGCACGATTTTAAACCAACTCGAAGTTCTCGAAAGGCGGAATTGGGATGTGCTAGATCGAGACTAGGCCCCGGTGGCACCCGAGTTTGGGAATTGTTGAGGCCGGGGTAACGGGTAACGAAGCAAGAGATGTGGGGGTTTTGAAATGTAGCTTTTTATTCTTGGCTCCTCCCTTTCCAGCTTACACCTTAAACCTCTGCTGATCCATCAGTTCTCTTATCGGAGCTGTTGGTGGTCTGTGCAAATATGAATCCCTTGAGGTGGATTCCTAAAATTGAATTTGAGCTGTGGAAGGGGCTTTAGGGAGCTTGTTGGCTCCCTCTGTTTATAGATGGAGAAACAGACAAGGAAAGCTAATTGCCTGAGCTGTCTGTGAAGCCAGGTGTCCTGCCGTGGAGTCCCGGGCTGCATCATACGGGTCCATCGTGTTGGTCAAGCTGTAGATCAGTGTAAGGAGTCATTTGAAGCAAAGCCCGGGAGATGTGGAAGTTCTGGAATCCGTGTGAATGTGCACCTGCCTTAACCACTCAACACTTTGAACTTCTTATATATAAAAAGAGGATGAAACATGTTAATTTATGGTGAGAAATTCATTTCAGAAACCAGAATACTTTGTCTTCATGCCCAGTGCCTTCTCTCTCTCTCTTTTTTTTTTTTTTTTTTTTTTTTTTGAGACAGTCTTGCTTTATCACCCAGACTGGAGTGCAGTGGCGTGAGCTTGGCTCACTGCAGCCTCCACCTCCCAGGTTCAAGCGACTCTCCTGCCTCATATTCCCAAGTAGCCGGGAATACAGGCGCCCACCACCAGGCCCGGCTAATTTTTTTTTTTTGTATTTTTAGTAGAGAAGAGGTTTCACAACGTTGGCCAGACTGCTCTCAAACTCCTGACCTCAAGTGATCCACCCACCTTGGCCTCCCAAAGTGCTGGGATTACAGGCCTGAGCCACCGCACTCCGTCCTTCTCTTTTTGAAAGAAGACTAGCCAGGCGCAGTGGCACACGCCTGTAATCCCAGCACTTTGGGAGGCTGAGGCAGGCGGATAACCTGAGGTCAGGAGTTCGAGACCAGCCTGACCAATATGGAGAAACCCTGTCTCTACTAAAAATACAAAATTAGCCAGGTGTAATGGCACATGCCTGTAATCCCAGCTACTCAGGAGGCTGAGGCAGGAGAATCGCTTGAACCTGCGAGGTGGAGGTTGTGGTGAGCTGAGATCACGCCATTGCACTCTAGCCTGGGCAACAAGAGCAAGACTCCTGTCTCAAAAAAAAAAGAAGACTTAAGTGGAAAACCTGATCATAGTCAGAAATTTATGTGGTAAGCATGAAATCAGCATGAGAGAAATTAGTTATGTGAACCAGATTTGTGAGAAATTAGTTATGTGAACCAGATTTGTAAAGACTTCAGGCCAAGATGCCAATTGCTTTCATCTCATGTAGAGCGAAATTGGCAATGGCTTTGGAATTGTGGACTTTGGATCATCAGTAACCTCAATGGCACCTTAATGTTTCCTGACAGTAAACCATATTTCCCTGGTGTCTTCCCCCCGCCCCAGACGGAATCTTGCTCTGTTGCCAGGCTGGAGTGCAGTGGTGTGGTCTCAGCTCACTGCAACTTCTGCTTCCTGGGTTCAAGCGATTCTCCTGCTTCAGCCTCCCGAGTAGCTGGGACTACAAGCACGCACCACCATGCCTGGCTAATTTTTTTGTATTTTTAGTAGAGACGGGGTTTTGCCATGTTGGCCAGGATGCTCTCGATCTCCTGACCTCATGATCCGCCCGCCTGGGTCTCCCAAAGTGCTGGGATTACAGACATGAGCCACAGCGCCTGGCCCTTTTTTTTTTTTTTTTTTTTTTTTTGAGATGGAGTCTCGCTCTGTCACCCAGGCTGGAGTGCAGTGGCTTGATCTCAGCCACTGCAGCCTCTGCCTCCCACATTCCAGTGATTCTCCTGCCACAGCCGGGTAGCTGGGATTACAGGTACACGCCACCACACCTGGCTACTTTTTGTTGTTGTTTTGTTTTTTTGAGATGGAGTTTCTCTCTTGTCACCCAGGCTGGAGTGCAGTGGCGCAGTCTTGGCTCACTGCAACCTCCACCTCCTGGGTTCAAGAAATTCTGCCTCAGCCTCCTCAGTAACTGGGATTACAGGCACCTGCCACCACACCCGGCTAATTTTTTGTATTTTTAGTAGAGACAGAGTTTCGCCATGTTGAGCAGGCTAGTCTTGAACTCCTGACCTCAGGTGATCATCCCACCTCGGCCTCCCAAAGTGCTGGGATTACAAGTGTGAGCCACCGCGCCTGGCCTACTTTTTGTATTTTTAGTAGAGACAGGGTTTCACCATGTTGGCCAGGCTGGTCTTGAACTCTTGACCTCAGGTGATCCACCCACCCTGGCCTCCAAAAGTGTTGGGATTACAGGCGTGAGCCACGGTGCCAGGCCCCTGGTCTCTTCAGAGTCTTCCAGGTGACTGTTTTCCACCTACTCCTGTAACATCCTTCTCTCCCACCCTCACTCTCAGCTGACAAACTTCTATTTTTTTTTTGCTGAAAAAAATAGAAGATTAGAAAACTTCCATCAGCAACCACCATTACATCTCACTGACCCATATCTGTGACATATACCTAGCCTTCTTTCCTATTACAATGAAAAAATTCTCCATATTCCTAGCAAAATCCAAGCCCTCCACTTGAGTCCTAAACCCCATTCCTTCTGATGCAATTAAGGACATCACAGGTAATTCTCCTGTCTTACGTATTTTCTATTTTTCTTGCTACAAGATTTTTTTCCTACTAGTATAGAAATGTGCTTCCATCTTGCCTTTAAAATACTCTGTTGACCCTACTTCCCACTTGAGTTCTCTCCTTCCCAATTGGAGCAGACTTCAAAAGGGTCGGCCAGGTGCGGTGGCTCATACCTGTGATTCCAGCACTTTGGGAGCCCGAGGAGGGCAGATCACAAGGTCAAGAGATCGAGACCATCCTGGCCAACATGGTGAAACCTCGTCTTTACTGAAAATATAAAAATTAGCTGGGCATGGTGGCTCATGCCTGTAGTCCCAGCTACTCGGCAGGCTGAGACAGGAGAATTGCTTGAATCAGGGAGGTGGAGGTTGCAGTGAGCTGAGATCGTGCCACTGCATTTCAACCTGGTGACAGAGCAAGACTCTGTCTCAAAAAAAAAAAAAAAAAAAGGTGGGGGGGGCTTGCCATCTTTAAATGTTTCCTCCTTAAATCCATTTCAATAAGTTCTTTTGTTGCCACCACTTCACTGAAGCTTCTCTACTCAAGGTTACCAGTGACCTTCACCTTGCTAAAACCAGTGATGAATTTTCAGTCCTCATCTTGAATTAGCAATTAGCACCAGCACTTGACACTATCATTTTTTCTTTTTTTAAAACACATTTTTCTCTTAGCTTCTTAGACACTACTAGTTTTTTTTTTTCTTTTTTTTTCTGAGACAGGGTCTTGCTCTGTTACCCAGGCTGGAGTATAATGGGCAAATCACAGCTCACTGCAGCCTCAACCTCCTTGGCTCAAGCAATCCTTCCACCTCAGCCCCCAAGTAGCTGGAACTACAGGCACATGCCACCAAGCCCAGCTAAGTTTTGTATTTTTTATAGAAACAGGGTTTCACTGTGTTGCCCAGTTTGGTCTCGAACTCCTGGGCTCAACCAGTATGCCCACCTCAACCTCACAAAGTGCTGGGATTACAGGCATGAGCCACTGCGCCTGGCTTACTGCTAGTTTTTCTTAAGCTTTGCTGGTGTCACCACTTCTCAGGCTTTGCGGATTCATCCTCAGAGGCCCTAAGGCACCCCAAGACTCAAGCCTGGGATCTTTTCTCCCTTCTAGATACGCTTGCTCCCTTGGTGATCTCACCCGGAATCTCCTAGCTTTAGTATCCCATGTATTTACTGATGGTTCCCAAATTTATACCTCTGCCCACACCGCTTGCCTGAACTACAGGCTGGCTTGTTCAACAGCCTGCTGTCTTCAGTTGGATGTCTAAATGGCACCTCAGACTCTGCATGTCTAAAACTAAGCTCCTAGTATCTCCTCTCTCTCCTCAGAGTAGTGCCTCCGGCTCTTTTCCCCATCTCAGTTAATAGGGACGCCACTCTTCCTGTTGCGCAGGCTAAAAATATCAGCATCATCCTTGCCTTGTTTTTCTTATACCTTCAGTTGGCAGATCCCACTGGCTTCACTTCCAGTATGTAAAGTCCTGTCCAGAGTCCAGCCACTTCTCACCATCTCCACTGCCACCACCTTGATCCAAGCTACCATCATCTCTCACCTGGGCCTTTCCATGATTCTTTAATTGGTCCCACTGATTCTTCCCTTGTCCCCTTCTGTTTCCCCCCAATAGTGAGCTTTGTGAGGACAAGGATGCTTCTGTTTTCTCATTGCCCAAAACAGTGCCTGGCACTAATAGATTCTGAGTAAACGCTGATTGAGTAAACCAGGATTATTTTTGCTTTTCTAGGTGAAGGTTTTGACAAATGAACTAAGTTTTTACTTGTCCAATTTTCCTTTCTACAGTGGTAGAGCTTTGTGTTCAGTATGGACAGAATGAGGAGGGAATGGTAGGCGAGCTTATAGCCTTCTGCACCAGCACACATAAAGTTGGCCTTACCTCAGAGATCCTGAACTCTTTTGAGCATGAGGTAAGAACAGAATGAAAGCAAACTAATAATGTAATTCTCTATTTCTGCTCTACAGGGGAGGCACTGTGATCTATTGAGAGGAGTGTGGGCTTTCGAGTCAGGCCCAGATTCCAGTCCCAGTGTGAACTTGGACAAACTACTTTATGTTCCTGAGCCTCAGTTTCCTCTTCTGTCATTGGGGCTAATAATCTGTATTTTTTTATGATTGTTATAAGAATTAAATGGGGCCAGGCGCTGTGGCTCACGCTTGTAATCCCAGGACTTTGGGAGGCTGAGGCAGGCAGATCACAAGGTCAGGAGTTCAAGACCAGCCTGGCCAACATGGTGAAACCCTGTCTCTACTGAAAATACAAAAATTAGTTGGGCATGGTGGTGGGCGCCTGTAATCCCAGCTACTTGGAAGGCTGAGGAAGGAGAATCGCTTGAACCTAGAGGAGGCAGAGGTTGCAGTGAGCTGAGATCGCGCCGCTGCACTCCAGCTTGGGATAGAGCGAGACTCCGTCTCAAAGAAAAAAAAAAAAAAAAAGAAAGAGATGAGAATGGACATACAGCACTTAAAACTATCACCCAGCAGGTGATAAGTCTTTACCAAATAGTTGGTATTGTTAGGATTGTTATGTGTTATAGACAGTAATGGGATGTCTTTGTTTTTAGTCTGTATGTATCTTAATTCTTTGAGGAATGTTAGATCTTTGATTATACTTTGAATACCTTTTATTATCTCAAGGCTTTGGAAAACACCTCTGCTACTACTTGACTATGAAGTACAGTGTTCACTATCTTTTCTTTTTCAGTTTCTGAGCAAAAGATTATCAAAAGCCCGGCACAGTGCCTGCAAGGACAGTGGCCATGCAGGAGCTAGAGACATTGTTTCCATTCAAGAGCTGTATCCTTTTCTGCTGAAGGTCTTTTTCACCAAGCTGCATGTTGCATTTTATAATTTGTCTGTAGTTGCATGTGTAATTGAAACACAATAATAAGGCCGGGCATGGTGGCTCAGACCTGTAATCCCAGCACTTTGGGAGGCCGAGGCAAGCATATCACTTGAGCCTAGCTAGGAATTTGTGACCAACCTGGGCAACAAGGTGAAACCCTGTCTCTACCAAAAGTACAAAATTTTTTATGTGTGTGTGAGTTGGTTTCACTCTTTTTGCCCAGGCTGAAGTGCAATGGTGCAATCTTGGCTCACTGCAACCTCCGCCTCCCGATCTCAAGTGATTCTCCTGCCTCAGCCTCCTGAGTAGCTGGGATTATAGGCACGCGCCACCACACCTGGATAATTCTGTAATTTTTTTTAGTAGAGACAGGGGTTCACCATGTTGGCCAGCTGGTCTCGAACTCCTGACCTCAGGTGATCCGCCCACCTAGGCCTCCCAAAGTCCTGGGATTACAGGCGTGAGTCACTGCCTGGCCAAAGTACAAATTAAAAAAAATAATAATAATCTGGCCGTGGTGATGCATGCCTGTAGACGCAGCTAGTTGGTAGGCTGAGGTGGGAGAATCTCTTGAACCTGGAGGGTGGAAGTTGCAGTAAGCTGAGACTAGACCACTGTACTCCAGCCTGGATGACAGAGGAAACCCCATCTCAATAATAATAATAATTGTAAAAATTACCTAATATTTAGATTTCTTTTTTTTTTTTTTTTTTTGAGACGGAGTCTCGCTCTGCCGCCCAGGCTGGAGTGCAGTGGCCGGATCTCAGCTCACTGCAAGCTCCGCCTCCTGGGTTCACGCCATTCTCCTGCCTCAGCCTCCCGAGTAGCTGGGACTACAGGCACCCACCACCTCGCCCGGCTAGTTTTTTGTATTTTTTAGTAGAGATGGGGTTTCACCGTGTTAGCCAGGATGGTCTCGATCTCCTGACCTCGTGATCCGCCCGTCTTGGCCTCCCAAAGTGCTGGGATTACAGGCTTGAGCCACCACGCCCGGCCTATTTAGATTTCTTCTAGCAATTAGCCCTTGCCTTATATGAAAGTTTATTATTATTATTATTTATTTATTTATTTATTTTTTTGAGATGGAGTCTCGCTCTGTCACCCACGCTGGAGTGCAATGGCATGATCTCGGCTCACTGCAAGCTCCGCCTCCCGGGTTTACGCCGTTCTCCTGCCTCAGCCTCCCGAATAGCTGGGACTACAGGCGCCCGCCACCTCGCCCGGCTAGTTTTTTTGTATTTTTTAGTAGAGACGGGGTTTCACCGTGTTAGCCGGGATCGTCTCTCGATCTCCTGGCCTCGTGATCCGCCCGTCTCGGCCTCCCAAAGTGCTGGGATTACAGGCTTGAGCCACCGCGCCCGGCCGATTATTGTTTTTCTTAACCAGTGTTCTTAGAATTGAAGTGGAAGAAGAAGAGGAAATTCTCTTGAACTCTTACACCACACCCTCAAAGGTAAGTAAACAGTGTTTGGACATCGCATTTTACAAGTAACATTTTAAAATAGGTTATCACAACATTTGAAGATCGGAGGGAAAAAAATCAACCACTCTCATGCATTTCCTACTATATTTCCACTTATACATCTTCCTTTCTGATCATATGTCTAAATGTTTTACATAATGGCAGTCCTTATAAACATATAGTTATCCTGCTTTTCTTAGCACAAAGTAAAACATTTCTATAAATATAATTTCTCCATAATTGCCCTTTTTAAATAGCTGCATAGTTTTTTTTTTTTTTTTTTTGAGACGGAGTCTCGCTCTGTCACCCAGGCTGCAGTGCAGTGGCCGAATCTCAGCTCACTGCAAGCTCCGCCTCCCGGGTTCACGCCATTCTCCTGCCTCAGCCTCCCGAGTAGCTGGGACTACAGGCGCCCGCCACCTCGCCCGGCTAGTTTTTTGTATTTTTTAGTAGAGACGGGGTTTCACCGTGTTAGCCAGGATGGTCTCGATCTCCTGACGTCGTGATCCACCCGTCTCGGCTTCCCAAAGTGCTGGGATTACAGGCTTGAGCCACCGCGCCCGGCCAATAGTTGCATAGTTTTATACTATAATTGAATAATTCAGTTCTGTGTTGGATCCCAGTGTGAAAGGTCAAGTAGAGTAGTGGAAAAGCATTGCCTTCAAAGTCTGAGTCAGAAGACCTGGGTGACCTGGAGTGAGTTGTTTTATCTCTCTGAGCCAGTTTCCTTATCCATAATATCAGGATATTCATTCAGTTATACAGCAACAACTATATACTGCACTAGGACACTGGGTAAACAGTGGTGAACGAAACAGACATGGATGGGCTCTGCCCTCAAGAAGCTGACAGCCAGTGCACAACATCCCCCATCTTGGAGGGCCTGAAGAGGAAATAAATAGGTAAAGTATCAGGCCCTGTGCAATGTATTCAGTAATAGTAATTATTCTTTATACTAACTAAATAAGTTCATAAGAATTCATAAACATGGAGTGAGCCTTAATTATTCAAAGTAAATTACATCATAAGAAAGATGTAATTTACATTGCCCTACGCAATGTATTCAGTAATGGTAATTATTCCGTTTTTTTTTTGCAACAGAGTTTTCCTCTTGTCGCTCAGCTGGAGTGCAATGGCACGATCTCGGGTCACTGCAACCTCTGCCTCCTGGGTTCAAGCAATTCTCCTGCCTCAGCCTCCCGAGTAGCTGGGATTACAGGCGCGTGCTACTACGGCCAGCTAATTTTTGTATTTTTAGTAGAGATGGGGTTTCACCATGTCAGCCAGGCTGGTCTCAAACTCCTCACCTCAGGTGATCCATCTGCCTCGGCCTCCCAAAGTGTTGGGATTACAGGCGTGAGCCACCGTGCCCAGCCCAGTAATTGTTCTTTATACTAACTAAATAAATTTGTAGAAATTCACAAACATGGAGGGAGCTTTAATTATTCAAAGTAAATTACATTATAAGAAAGAAGGTAAGGGCTGGGTGCAGTGGCTCATGCCTGTAATCCCAGCACTCTGGGAGACCAAGGCAGGAGGATCAGTGACCAGAGATCATGCCACTTCTCTACAGCCTGGGTGACAAAGTGAGACCCTGTCTCAAGAAGAAAGAAGGTAAATAGATTTGCCTGTGGAGAGTAAGAGGGTCAAAAATGTGCCCCATGAAGTTGCTAGCACAAAACCAGGTACATATAATATTAAAAGAAATAATGAGGTGTTTGTTAGAGTTTCTTAAGATTGGAGAGACTGTAACTCATTTGATTTTCCCCCTGAAGTGGTTTTCCGAGTCCATATCCCAGTGAAGGACACCTCCGTTCTTCCATTGGCTCAGGCCAAGAACCTTGGAGACCTCCTTAAATCCTTTTTCTCTCACACCCCACGTCCAACTTAGCTACCGGTCCTGACATCCCTCTCCAGGATCTGGCCACCTCTCACCATTTCCACTGCCACTACCAGGTCCACAGCATCATTGTCTCCTGAATGATTGGGACAGCCTCCTAACTAGTCCGTTGGCTTCTTTCTGCCGTGTCCGCCTCTAACCAGCTCTCCACCCAGCAGCCAGGGTGCTCCCTTCCAACGAAAGGTCAGGTTTTCTTGCTCATATCTCTCCCGCTGACTTTTCATCTTTCCTCCTAATACCCAAAGTTTGAACCAGCCTGTGTGAGGTTCTGTAGGAGCTGGCCCCTCCTCCTTCTGTCCTCTTTCCCTGCTGCCCCTTGCTCTCTGCTTCTGCCGTGCCAAATATGGGTCCATTTCCTGTGTCTCCTCGTCAGAGGGAACAAGCCTGCCTAAAAGAACAAAACCCTTCCTCTGTTTTATTTTCTTGCTTTATTTTTCTCATTATTCTCTTGCTTTATTACCACCAAACATTTTTTTTTTTTTTTTTTTTTTTTTTTGAGACAGAGTCTCGCTGTGTCGCCCGGGCTGGAGTGCAGTGGCCGGATCTCAGCTCACTGCAAGCTCCACCTCCGGGGTTTACGCCATTCTCCTGCCTCATCCTCCCGAGTAGCTGGGACTACAGGCGCCCGCCATCTCACCCGGCTAGTTTTTTGTATTTTTTAGTAGAGACGGGGTTTCACCGTGTTAGCCAGGATGGTCTCGATCTCCTGACCTCGTGATCCACCCGTCTCAGCCTCCCAAAGTGCTGGGATTACAGGCTTGAGCCACCGCGCCCGGCCCACCAAACATGTTATATAGTTACTTTTTTGTTTTGGTTGGCCTTCCCTCCATTAGATGGAAGCTCCTTGAGAATAGAGACTTTGTTTTTACTTGCTGCTGTTTTCCCAGCACCCTGGCACATTAATAGTTGTTAAAAGACCTCTGAATAAGGGAGTGTGGTTGACTCTCCAAATAGGGTCTCAATTGCAATACCAATGGGACCACCACAGTTTTATCTGGTTGTCAGCTTCACAGATCCAGAATTTTATCTAATTTGTCTATGTATCCAGAATTGATCATATTCTTGGAGTCTGACTCATGGTAACCCAGCTGTCAGTAGACTGATGAGTAAGCCAGGTACAAATTTGCTTATTTTACTGTTCAAGTAGATACCCTTTCAATGACTGAAATCCCACATTTAGGCTATCCCATTCCTGCTATGGAGATACTTAAGAGACTAAATTGTGAATCAGAGTTTGTGACTGTGAGGCCGGGTGCAGTGGCTCATGCCTGTAATCCCAGCACTCTGGGAGACTGAAGCAGGTGGATCACTTGAGGTCAGGAGTTTGAGACCAGTGAAACCCCATCTCTACTCAAAATAAAAAATTAGCTGGGCATGGTGGTGGGTGCCTATAATCCCAGCTACTCAGGAGGCTGAGGCAGGAGAATTGCTTAAACTTGGGAGGCGGAGGTTGCACTGAGCCCAGATCACACCACTGCACTCCAGGCTGGGCGACAGAGAGAGACTCCGTCTCAAGAAAAAAAAAAAAAAAAGAAAAAAAGTTTGTGACTCTGAATTCCACGCTAAATGAGTTGGATTGAAATGTTAAGCAAACATTATGTGTCTGGACTAGAGATACATAAAATGCTTAGAACAGTACCCATCATGTGGAAATTATTCAGTCACTGTTAGGCCATGCATCAATGGCAGCATGATAAAATAGTCAAAGTGTGGCCAGGCGTGATGGCTCACACCTGTAATCCCAGCACTTTGGGAGGCCAAGGTGGACAGATCACCTGAGGTCAGGAGTTCGAGACCAGCATGGCCACCGTGGTGAAACCCCATCTCTACAAAAGTACAAAAATTAGCTGGGCATGATGGCAGGTGCCTGTAATCCCAGCTACTCGAGAGGCTGAGACGGAAGAATCACTTGAACCCGGGAGGTGGAGGTTGCAGTGAGCTGAGATCGTGCCATTGCACTCCAGCCTGGGCGAGAGAGTGAGACTCCATCTCAAAAAAAAAAAAAAAAAGACAAAGTGTGAAGGTTGGCTTTTCCATACAAACAGTGCCAGGCTGAGGTTGCCTGACCCTCAGGTCTTAGGAACAGGTGTCCTTCTGCTATAAAGGTAAATATGATAAGTCAGTGATTTTAGCTTATCACTATTAAATATTCCTGTGCAATTGACAGCTGTTCTTTTGCTTCCGTGTTCACCATAAATCTGCTGATGATTTGGCTGCCATGTCCCTGTCTAACAGGGAGAGAATGCGTTAGCCTGGTGATTTGACGTTACCATACCCTGGCCGGTTATATTTCTAGTAAATTAATAAACTGGTTATAATTTGATTTTCTCTGTGGGTGTGAGAATGTGCTTACCCTAGGATATGAAAATATGGTACCATTGCTGACTACATTTATCATTAAAAATGATGAAACCGCCCACCGCGGTGGCTCACGCCAGTAATCTCAACACTTTGGGAGGCCAAGAAGAGGGAATCACCTGAGGTCAGGAGTTCAAGACCAGCCTGGCCAACATGGTGAAACCCTGTCTCTACTAAAAATAGAAAAATATTAGCTGGGCGTGGCAGCGGGCGCCTATAATCCTGGCTATCCGGGAGGCTGAGGCAGGAGAATTGCTTGAACCCGGGAGGCAGAAGTTGCAGTGAGCCGAGATCGCGCCACTGCACTCCAGCCTGGGCAATCAGAGCAAAACTCCATTTTAAAAAAAAAAAGAGAGAGAAAGGAAGGATGAAACTAGCCAGGCATGGTGGCTTATGCTTGTAATCCTAGCACTTTGGGAGGCCGAGGTGGGTGGATCACCTGAGATCAGGAGTTCGAGACCAGCCTGGCCAAAATGGCAAAACCCCATCTCTGCTAAAAATACAAAAATTATCCTAGCATGGTGGCACATGCGTGTAATCCCAGCTACTCGGGAGGCTGAGGCAGGAGAATTGCCTGAACCCAGGAGACGGAGGTTGCAGTGAGCTGAGATCATGCCACTGCACTCCACCCTGGGCGACCCTCCGTCTCAAAAAAAAAAGAAAAAATGATGAAACCAGCATTAAGTGTTAATAATGAATCTTATGAGCTTGGTTAAAGGGGGTGCATCTTTGAGAACTGGGACTGGAGTTGGTGAACACTATTGGATTTCAGCCCTAAGGCTGAGGACCGGAACACCAGACTGTGCCTTGTTTACCAAAGTGCTGTCACCTTGCCACATCCTGCGAGACAGACTGTCATTCTCTCGAAATATCCCTGCCCCACAACATTGGCCCCAGAGTGTTGTAGCCGACTGTATATTAGGAGAATCTTTTGGAGGGATAGTTTGAGAAAATATATTCAAATTATAGAATCTCTTTTTTAATTATAAAAAAAATAAAGACACGGTGTCACTGTGTTGCTCAGGCTCAGGCTGGTCTTGAACTCCTGAGCTCAAGTGATCCATCTGCCTCGGCCTCCCAAAATGCTAGGATTACAGGCATAAGCCACCATCCCTGGCCAAATTCATAAAATCTTTTTCTATCCTTTGACCCAGTAATTCTCCCTAGAGGGGAAAAAAAAATCTCTTCTGAAGAAATAATTCAAATTGTGGGAAAAGCTCTATGCATGACGATATGCATCTTAGCATTATTTTATTTTTTAATTTAAAATCTTAATTTGCCAAATCACTTTTCACCTAAGAATCAGCATTATTTGTAATCACTGAAAAATCACAAACAACCCATAATCCAGCAATTGAGAATTATGTAAATCGTTGTAGATCAATTTAAGCAAATAACACAGCTACTAAAAAGGATAAAGACCTGTAATCCCAGCACTTTGGGAGGCCGAGGCAGGTGGATCATCTGAGATCAGGAGTTCGAGACCAGCCTGACCAACATGGCAAAACTCCCATCTCTACTAGAAATACAAAATTAGCTGGGCGTGGTGGCACATGCCTGTAGTCCCAGCTACTCAAGAGGCTGAGGCCGGAGAATGACTTGAACCTGGGAGGTGGAGTTGCGGTGAGCCGAGGTTGCAGTGAGCTGAGATCGTGCATTGCACTCCAGCCTGGGCAACAAGAGCGAAGTGAAACTCCGTCTCAGAAAAAAAAAAAAAGGAAAAAGATTGGGCCAAGTGCAGTAGCTCATATGTATAATTCAGCATTTTGGGAGGCCGAGGCAAGTGGATCACTTGAGGTCAGGAGTTCGAGACAAGCCTGGCCAACATGACAAAACCCAATCTCTACTAAAGATACAAAAATTAGCTCGGTGTGATGGCGGGCACCTGTAATCCCAGCTACTTGAGAGGCTGAGGCAGCAGAATCGCTTGAGCCCAGGAGGCAGAGGTTGTAGTGAGCCGAGATCTTGCCACTGTGCCCAAGCCTGGGTGACAGAGTGACTCCATCTCAAAAAAATATATAACAAAAAAACAGTGTGGGAAAATATTTATTATTAATATAGAGTGAAAAAATCAGCACATAAAATACTTAGGTTTATATTTAAACTAAGATTATGACTAATTTGTATATTTGTAATCTTAATATGCAAATTATCAGCCACCATGCCTGGCTTTTTTTTTTCTCCTCAGATGTGAGGTCTCGCTGTTGCCCAGGCTGGTGTTGAACTCGTGGGCTCAGGTGATCCTCCCACCTTGACCTCCCAGAGTGCTGGGATTACAGGCATGAGCCACCACCCCTGGCCTAGAAAAATATTAAAATACTATTAAGGAATATTCAAAACTGGTTATTATATCAGGATGGTAGAATAAGAGATTTTTTTTTTAATCTATTTTCCATTGCAGCTGCCTAATGATGGTTTTGAATCTGTTCTCTGGCATTCTGTCCTTTAGTTGCTACCAGTTGACCACTCGGCAGTATAACTTCTTAAACTTGCAGCCAGGAGGAGCCCTAGGGCAAGGAAAGCTGCAGACTAGCTGGCTTTCTGGCTGCTATCCGGGCAAGGATTTTGTTTTCTCTATTACAGTTGATTATCCTAGACTTTAGGGAGCAATGGGTCTCTGGACTGTAGGTTTCAGCCTCCATTCTGGGCTTATCTTTGGATTCTTGTTGATGAGTCAAAGGAAAAAAAAAAAAAAAAAGGAGTGACCATCAATGAGGTGTTTGCTGACTCTTCTAGTATGAGCTCAACCTTGTTATCTGTTATCTGCCGGGAGTCATTTCCTTTGAAAATGTGTGGTATACTTTACCAGAGTAAGTAGTAATATCCCATTCCTTCTCAGGAAAATGTGTACACGTAGGTCAAAACTATGCATTGTAAAACTCAGATCTGTTTGAAAACAGAGAGGTGGGGACAGAAAGTAAACATACGAAGGATTTGACAGGACAGATTACCAGCCTGGTGGTCCTTTCTGGAAAATGTTTGCTTTCTTGTAATTGCCTTCAAAATAGGGACAGTGTCCTGAATGTTGGTTACAGTTGTTGAAGATTTCTTTTTGAGATTATGCTTGGATGATGGGGCCTTAAAAAGAGAACCCACCCAGTCCTGTTTTGTGCCTTCGTTTGGACATGCTCTCCCTTTTCTTCCAAGGAACTATACACTTAATTAGTATTGGGTCTAGTAGGACTGAGATTTTGTTTTCCTTTTTTTTTTCCCTAGGGTTCTCAGAAGCGAACTATCTCCACCCCAGAAACCCCCCTAACAAAAAGAAGTGTATCAACTCGTAGCCCCCATCAGCTCCTCTCACCATCAAGTTTCTCTCCAAGGTATGGATCATAATTCATTCAAGTGCCATAAAGCTGGCTTCCCCTCCCCTTTCTCTGGCTATCTGAGGAAGGCTAGCAGCAGAGTTATTTATTAACTGTAGGTGGGCATGTACATCTGCAGTGAATTGGCTTGAAAGCCTATTGCTCTCTGCCTTCCTTGCTTTCCCTTTCTTTGTGGAAAATTACTGATTCTTACAGTAATTAAGGAAACTCACTTTCCACCCACTTTTCTAAGGCTCATTTCCTAGATCAGGAACTGATACCTTCTATTGAAAACAACCTGTCTATTCAGAAGTCTAAGAGTCTTAACAGGTCTTGTCAGTAGAGGCAAGTAGGTTTCCACCTGCTTCTGTTGGTGTTTTGTTGGGTTTCTTTTTCTTTCTTTTCATCTAAAGTTTTTTTGTTTTGTTTTTAAAGAAAAGCACATATCTTTGTTCATAATGTTTCGTAACCTGTTTATTGTTTCAAACTCAGGTTACAACTAGTTTCTGAGTTTTCTTGTCACTGTGAATCTGCACTGACTTAATTGGTATTTTGTCCCTCTGCCACCACTGCACATAAATCCACAAAGATCATATGTAATTTTTTAAAATCCGTAAATGACACGTCTCGTATTAGAGAATTCCATAGGCAAGTGCTCTGCTGAGTAGATGGGTTTTTAGGAGCTTCCACATCAAGATGAGGCTCAGGAGCAGTAGTATTAACCCTTTAGGGAAACACCAACTGCCAGGAGTCATTACCTCTACTTTGGATCACTTCTAAATGAACCAGAGCTTAAGATTTTTCAACTCTGTCACTTTTTTTTTTTTTTTTTTTTTTTTTGAGACAATCTCACTTTGTCACCCAGGCTGTAGTGCAGTAGCACCATCTTGGCTCGCTGCAGCCTCTGCCTCCCCAGTTCAAGCGATTCTCCTGCCTCAGCTTCCCGAGTAGCTGGGTCTACAGGCGCCCGCCACCACACCTGGCTAATTTTTGTATTTTTAGTAGAGACAGGGTTTCTTTCACCTGTTGGCCAGGCTGATCTTGCACTCCTAACCTCAGGTGATCCACCCGCCTCAGCCTCCCAAAGTGCTAGGATGTCAAGCATGAGCCACCGCGCCCAGCCTTTTCAGCTCTGTCACTTTAGAAAGCTGGTGATAGAAGCTCTGCAGTCATTCAAGGTGAGGGGTTATTGGATTTTTTTTTCTTTTTTCTTTTGTTTTTTTTTAAGATAGGCTTTCACTCTGTTACCCAGGCTAGAGTGCAGTAGCACAATCATAGCTCACTGGCCTTCCAGGCTCAGGTGATCCTCCTACCTCAGCCGCCTGCGTAGCTGGGACTACAGGTGTATGCTACAAAGCCCAGCTAATTTTTGTAGAGATGGGGTTTTACCATGTTGCTCAAGCTGGTGTTGAACTCCTGGCCTCAAGCAGTCTGCCCCCCCTTAGCCTCCCAAAGTACTGGGATTACAGGCGTGAGCCAGCGTGCCTGGCGGTATTTGGATTTTGAAGGACAGTTTTACTTTAGGGTGGTCTACTGCTGCTCTGGGGAGTTCTCAAACTTTTTGGAAGAAAGCTTTCTAGGCTTAACAAGAGCATCTTTGCAACCGGGTATGTAGGGATGGCTCTTACGGACATGCCAGCACCATTGCAGGAGTTATATTCTCCAAATGTCAGTACAATGCTCTGAAACCTGTAGATCTGTTTACAGCTGTCCTCATGTGAGCATCTTGCTGCATTAAAGGGCCTGCTGTAATGGATGGCTCATGGAGCTTCCCAGGGAAGAGCTTGGAGAAGTTGGCAAAATGCTGCCTAGTCATTTTTTAATGCACACTAATAAAGCTGACAGCAGAAACTGGTTTTGTAATGTATGAAAGTAACTTCTAAATTATTCAGGTAGAGGTGGCACTGGAGATTGAGATAATTAATTGAGCTCATTTTCTGTAGCCTGTCTGTGAAAAGAAAGAATGATGGCATTAATTGCGATGGTGCCCCACATAAAACTGGTTCCTGCAGAGTTTCAGTGCATTAAACAAAGCCTGTTTTAAATAGAGCTCTGTACGGCGTGTTTACAACCAGAGAATTAGAAGACTTCACTGTTATCTAAGCAGATCGGCAATATCCATGTGTTCTTAGAGGTGTAATTTACCAGTCAGGGAGTGGAAACGTGAGAACTTGGCAGTTGAGCCTAGAAAAATGGGAATGTTTGCATATCACCAGACTGTTAATTCATTACTTCTCCACCTTTATAGACACTGGGGAAAGTTGATTAATTTTAACTTCATTTTATTGTTGTTTCTACCTTGAACCATATTGTGAGTTTTTATATATGCTCAGCAAGTTTTGGCTTATCCACAGTTGCAGGCTCAGATGATGTTCCAATAAATGCTAAAAATTCATAAGAAGAGAAAAATGGAACTTAAAGTTTGCCTTTTAATCAATTCAGGATCTGGGTTTTTTTTTTGCCTTGCTTAGTTTTAATGCCAAGAGAACGACAACCTTTTAAAATACGTTTCTGTCTCTAAACTTCTTTAAAAATGCTTGGTATTCCTCAACCCTTCATTCCTGAAATTCCTTAAAGGTCTGGGTATGTCCAACCCCGTTAAACTGATTCGATTTATAAACTATGAGGCCACCTTCCTTTTCTCTAGTCCCCATTTCCAAAGATAACCTCATGTTATTCCTCTCTCCCTTTAGATATGAACACAGTAATATTAATCCTTTTGCTTCCAATTAGTGCTACTCCCTCCCAGAAATACAACTCAAGAAGTAACCGAGGAGAAGTGGTTACCTCCTTCGGCTCAGCACAGGGAGTGTCTTGGTCTGGGAGAGGAGGAGCTGGAAACATCAGCCTGAAGGTCTTGGGGTGTCCAGAGGTACTAACAGGGAGCTACAAATCCATGTTTCAGAAGCTCCCAGACATTCGAGAAGGTGATTGTTTTTCCCTTTGAAATTCTGGTGGATATAAAACCACCTGGAAGGGTCTAGAGTAACAAAGCTTCAGCTATGCTGGTAGAACAAGTTCCAAGGTTGCCTTTGAATATATGAGTTGGTAATGTCTTCATGGAATCCCTAGTAGTGGAGGGACACTGGCAATACTATCAGTGATTGCCCCAAGTTACTTCACTTGGCTAAAAAGCACATAACCATTCCCAGCAGCAAAAACTCGAACGATGTAAAGGAATTCAACTTAAAGATATTCATGGCTCCTTCCTTAGAAGCCTTCTTCGGCCGGGCGCGGTGGCTCAAGCCTGTAATCCCAGCACTTTGGGAGGCCGAGACAGGCGGATCACAAGGTCAGGAGATCGAGACCATCCTGGCTAACACGGTGAAACCCCGTCTCTACTAAAAAATACAAAAAACTAGCCGGGCGAGGTGGCGGGCGCCTGTAGTCCCAGCTACTCGGGAGGCTGAGGCAGGAGAATGGCGTAAACCCGGGAGGCGGAGCTTGCAGTGAGCTGAGATCCGGCCACTGCACCCCAGCCTGGGCGACAGAGCAAGACTCCGTCTCAAAAAAAAAAAAAAAAGAAGCCTTCTTCAGGTTGGCCTTGACTTGCCTAAAACCTCAATGAGGACTTGAGTAAAGGGCAGACTTGGGGATGGGGTGGGGTTCATGCCGATTCCCTGGAATTGTGCTGTGGGGTCTCCTGTGGCCAGATGGAAGGCCAGGTTCAGCAACCAAATATCGGAAAATTGGCAAGGATTTTAGAAGGTTTAAACTGGCCAGATGTCCAGGCACCCTTCCTGCTTCTATAAAATGACTGACTTTAAGCCGGGCACGGTGGCTCAAGCCTGTAATCCCAGCACTTTGGGAGGCCGAGACGGGTGGATCACGAGGTCAGGAGATCGAGACCATCCTGGCTAACACGGTGAAACCCCGTCTCTACTAAAAATACAAAAAACTAGCCGGGCGAGGTGGCGGGCGTCTGTAGTCCCAGCTACTCGGGAGGCTGAGGCAGGAGAATGGCGTGAACCCGGGAGACGGAGCTTGCAGTGAGCTGAGATCCGGCCACTGCACTCCAGCCTGGGTGACAGAGTGAGACTCCGTCTCAAAAAAATAAAAAAAATAAAAAATAAAAAAAATGACTGACTTTAATATTTTACAATGTGCTGTATTTTCTCTTCTTGGCAAGTGAAAGGTCTTAACATAATATTTTTTTTTCCACTTCTGGGATTGCAGTTCTGACATGTAAGATAGAAGAACTCGGCAGCGAACTCAAGGAACATTATAAGATTGAAGCTTTCACTCCTTTGCTAGCCCCAGCACAGGTAAGAGTTGTTCTAATAGTTCTCACTAATTAATAATACATTTTTTAATCGATGACCAAGAGCTATCCTTCTTGCTTCCTTTTTCACTTCTTGTCTGTGTTCTAGTTTGAACATCTATCTTGGTTGAATTTGGGAAAATAGGCCCTTCTGAAGAAAGATTTGTAAGTGCTGTCTGGTTTTGTGGCCAGAGAGTGATTTTCTTCCCACTTGGATTAGAGTCTTGCACATAAGCAGAGACTGAAGGCCTTGTTTCCCTTGGTGGTGAGTCAGGTAGCTCCCTGGGGATTTCCCACAAGTAGAAGCATTCACATATCGAGATAAAAGGACAGCAGCGAGGGTGGGGTTTTCAGAATCTTGTTCTCTGGACAATGACTCACAGTCTCTCCCCTTGTTTGGTCTCTTGTTATAGACAAACTGCTGCCAATACTATCTTTATATCATAGTTTAATCTGGTGTATATACCAGTACTTTCTCTCTAGAATGTTTTCTAATTTAAGAGGAAATATATTCTAGAAGTTTCTTTAAAGTACCTTTGTCAATGTTTACATTCAAAGAATGACCAGTTGGGGAAGTGATGCAGAACTGTGTCATAGAAGGAAGTGTTGGAGGACTTGGAAGGAAATAATTGAGGGAAGGCAGGGAAGCACAATCACTGGGAAAGATGAGACTTCCTCTCTTTTCTCCCAAGAGTGGGAACAGAACAGAGGAAGCCATAGGGACAGAGATTTTAGCTCAATTAATAAAGAACTTCCTGTTAGGAGGTTGTATGGTATGTGGCTAAGGATATGGCTCTAGAGCCAAATTTCTGGTCTCAAACCCAAGCTTCACCCACAGTTTGACCTTGACTAAATTATCTAACTTCTCTGTTGCTTGTTTTCCTCATCTGTAAAATGGGTACAATAATATCCACCTGATGGTTGTTGCAAGGATTAAATGAGTTAATATATATAAAATGCCTAAGAATACATTTTAAAATAGTGCATGGTATTTAGTAAGCTCAAGAAATGTTATCTATTATTAAGTAGTTATAGCTGTCCAAAGATGCAGTGTGCTGCCCTGGGATGGTGAGGACCAGGTGGGGTGGGCATCCAGGGGCAAGTTCCCCTACACTAGAGATGCTCACACTTAGGCAGCCTCCTCGGAGGGCTCAAGTGCTGGGTTGGTGGGTGGACAAGATGCCCTTTCAGAGTTCTTCCATCCTGAGAGTCAGTGATGATGCTGTAGTCACCTCAGGGTCAAAGCAATGCCCTGCCAAAGAATGTATTTGTTGTTTGCAGTTTGTTTTGCTATTCATCCTATTGACTTCAGATTTTGAGCTCCTGCTCCAAAGACTGTCATTCTTATGCTGTGACCTTCCTTTGGTAGGAGCCTGTCACTCTGCTGGGCCAGATTGGCTGTGATAGCAACGGGAAACTGAACAACAAGTCAGTGATTCTCGAGGGAGACCGGGAACATTCCTCGGGTGCTCAAATCCCAGTGGATTTATCTGAGCTTAAGGAATATTCTCTGTTTCCCGGACAGGTGAGATTGGAGGAGTTCCACCAGGATGCAGGTGCACTCTTTACTCCTGAAGAGTACGTGCTGTGCCATGTGCAGCTGCTCCTTAGTTCCTGTCTCTGCTGCCATGGGGTGTGGGTGGAGCACATGCCCCAGAGCAGACACCACTGTTGGGATTTCCATTTCCCCCATGCTCTGACCGAGGCTCTGGGACCCAACTGCCCAGCCTCAAATCCTAACTCCCCACTCCATGAGGTGCATACCTGTGGGCAAGGTACTTAACCATCTAAACCACAGTGTCTTCACTCACAACATGGAAATAATAATTCTTACCTCATAGGATTGTTGTGAAAATTAGATCACGTATGTAGAGCATAATTATTATTACTAATGCAACGCCCTTAATTTGTTTTCTGCAAAAATGCCCTAAGTTTATGATTACAGATTAAAAGTAATTGGACAATGCTTTTTTTTTTTTTTTTTTTTTTTTTTTTTTTTTGAGACGGAGTCTCGCTCTGTGCCCCAGGCTGGAGTGCAGTGGCGCAATTTCGGCTCACTGAAAGCTCCGCCTCCCAGGTTCACGCCATTCTCCTGCCTCAGCCTCCTGAGTAGCTGGGACTACAGGCGCCCGCCACTGCGCCCGGCTAATTTTTTGTATTTTTAGTAGAGACGGGGTTTCACCGTGTTAGCCAGGATGGTCTCGATCTCCTGACCTTGTGATCCGCCCGCCTCGGCCTCCCAAAGTGCTGGGATTACAGGCATGAGCCACCGCGCCCGGCCTGGACAATGCTTTTAACTGCCTCAAAATAATGTATTCCAGACCTCGTTGATCTCCACTGCTTAGCAATCCTGTTTGTTTTTGTCTTTCAGGTTGTAATTATGGAAGGAATCAACACCACTGGTAGGAAACTTGTTGCCACCAAACTCTATGAGGTACACAGCGTACCCCCACTTGCCTCTTGGTTTGCTTCAGGCAAAGTGTGTCTGGAAGCTGTCTGTTCTAGAAACTGGTCCTTTTTAGGAGCCCATTTATTTGTTAGTCAGTTCTCCATCTGTAAGTGGAAATCTACCCCTGGGCCAGGGGTCAGCAAACTCTTTCTGTAAAGGGCCAGACAGTAATTCTTTTAGACTTTATAGCTACATGGTCTCTGTCACAATGACTCAACTCTGCCTTTGTCTACAAAAGCAGCCACAGAGAACTCTTAAACAGATGACTGTGGCTGTGTTCCAATAAAACTTTATTTAAATAGTGGGCTAGAGCCAGATTTGGCCCAGAGGCCATAAGCTTACCTATCCCTGCTCTAGGCAACAATCCTCCAGAGATTTTCATAGAATGCCAGGAAAAGTAGCAAGACACCCTCCCATTCTTGCCTAGAAGTACACTGATACTTTAGGTACCTGTTTTGCTCCCACTTGTCGCTGGGTGTTTTATGACTATTGAGTAGTGACCTCCGATTACCTGGGTTTCTTCGCCCTCTGAGCAGTATAGAAAAATGGCAGGTCCTGGCCGGGCGCGGTAACTCACGCCTGTAATCCCAGCACTTTGGGAGGCCAAGGCGGGTGGATCACAAGGTCCGGAAATCGAGACCATCCTGGCTAACATAATGAAACCCCATCTCTACTAAAAATATAAAAAATTAGCCAGGCGTGGCAGCGTGTGCCTGTAGTCCCAGCTACTCGGGAGGCTGAGGCAGGAGAATGGCATGAACCCGGGAGGCAGAGCTTGCAGTGAGCCAAAATGGCACCACTGCACTCCAGCCTGGGTGACAGAGCGAGACTCCATCTTAAAAAAAAAGAAAAGGAAAGAAAGAAAAGAAAACTGGCAGGTCCCATCAGATCCAAGGAGCAAGACAGAGGCACATCCTTCCCCTGCCCTCGCTCCTCCCCACTGTCCTCCCATCACACCTGCACACCCCCCAACCCGGTGCCCTCCCCTTTCCTTACCAAGGTGATGCCTGGCACAAGACCTTACTTGAGCTTTTCACTTGTTTTTAGGGTGTGCCACTTCCATTTTATCAGCCCACTGAAGAGGATGGAGGTGAGTTTCAGTTCAAATACTGTTTCTGCAAACAGTGAGGGTGGTAGACATGAGTCCAGGAGTGCAGTTTCCCGAGCCCAAGAAAGCTGCAGAAGCTGCTGAAGAGCAATGTGACCAAGCGGTGAGGGTACCACCATCAGTGAGTTCGTAGGTTTTTTGTCACAAGACCCCTGATCTGAGCCCAGTGAGCGTTGGTCGTGCTGTCACCTGAGTTCTGCCTACATGAAGCATGTTGTTTAAAGACTAATGTCTAACAGGTATTTTTGAAGGTTGCCTTGGAAAGGAAAAAGATGTACGATGTCAAGAAGAATTTCTTTACATGCAGTGTGGGCCAGATGCAGTGGCTCACACCTGTATTCCCAACACTTTGGGGGGCCAAGGTGGGAGGATCACCTGAGGCCAGGAGTTGGAGACTAGCCTGGGCAATATAGGGAGACCCTGTCTCTACTAAAAATTATAAAATTTAGCTGGGCTGGTGGTGCGTGCCTGTAGTCCTAGCTAATCAGAGGCTGAAACAGGAGAATTGCCTAAGCCCAGGAGTTCAAGGTTGCAGTGAGCTATGGTAACACCACTGCACTCCAGCCTGGGTGACAGAGCAAGACTGGCTCTTAAAAAAAAATTAGAATTAATTAATTTTTTGAAAATGTAATGTGGCATCCTGGATTGAATCCTTGAAGAGAAAGGGAACATCAGTGGAACAACTAGCAACGTCTGAGTAAAGCCAGGAATTTGCTTTTTTATTTTTCTGGCTCTAACACTCAACCTCGAAAATCCAGGAATTTGGTTACCAGCGATATACCAGCATTAATGCCTTAATTTTGACAAATGTTCATGGTTACCTAACATGTTAAGATTGGGGGCCCTCTGGTGAAAGACACACAGGAACTCTGTACTATCTTTGTAACTTTTCTACAATTCTAAATTTGTTCTAAAGTGAAAACTTAAAAATAATTTCTTTTTTTTCTTTTTGGTTTTTTTTTTTTTTTTTGAAATGGAGTCTCGCTCTGTCCCCCAGGCTGGAGTGCAGTGGCAAGATCTCGGCTCACTGCAAGCTCTGCCTCCTGGGTTCAAGCGATTCTCCTGCCTTAGCCTCCCAAGTAGCTGGGATTACAGGTATGTGCCACCACGCCTGGCTAATTTTGCATTTTTAGTAGAGATAGGGTTTCTCCATGTTGGTCAGGCTGGTCTCAAACTCCCAAACTCAGGTGATCTGCCCACCTTGGCCTCCCAAAGTGCTGGGATTACAGGCATAAGTTACCACACCCAACTCTCAAGGCATGCTTGTAAGCACAGTGGAGCACTGTTCAGGATTAGCAACCAGATCACTGACACTAGCATGTTGTCAACACCCCATGCATGTAACAGTGGCCAGAGCCATTCTTGGAGATGACCTAGAATCAGGAGTGAAATTTAGGACTCTGTTATATTGCACATTTTATCAGAAAATACAAGTTTGGCCGGGCGTGGTGGCTCACGCTGGGGCAGGAGGATTGCTTGACCACAGGAGTTTGAGACCAGCCTGGGCAACATGGTGGAACCTCGTGTCTACAAAAAGTACAAAAAATTAGGCCGGGCGCGGTGGTTCACGCCTGTAATCTCACCACTTTGGGAGGCTGACGTGGGCGGATGACAAGGTCAGGAGATAGAGACCATTCTGGCCAACAAGCTGAAACCCCATCTCTACTAAAAATACAAAAATTAGCTGGGCGTGGCAGCGTGTGCCTATAATCCCAGCTACTCAGGAGGCTGAGACAGGAGAATCACTTGAACCTGGGAGGTAGAGGTTACAGTGAGTGGAGATCGCCACTGAACTCCAGCCTGGCGACAGAGCTAGATTCTGTCTCAAAAAAAAAAAAAAAAAAAAAATCAGCTGGGTGTGGGCATGGTGGCATGTGCCTATAGTCCCAGCAACTCGGAAGGCTAAGGTGGGAGGATCACTCTCCTGAGTCCAGGAGGTCAAGGCTGCCTTGAGCCATGATCATACCACCACTGCACTCCAGCCTAGGAGTCAGAGTGAGACCCTATCTCAAAAAAGAAAAAAAAGAAAATACAAATTTATAGGGGCAAGGGTGGCATGCTGGTATTAGGTCAACTTCAGGTAATGAAATCAACCTGGCTGAGATACCAGGAGCCTGAGCTGTGTACCAGGGAAGCCTTTGGAAACAGTTTAACAGGTTGTTAATGAACTTTTGTATAAGGAATTAAACGAGGCACTCATGGAGATACAGAATAAGACATGGCCCTCGCCCTCCAGAGACTCACTGCTTACACTGGGGCTCACATCTCCTGTAGGCTTCTCAGAGCCAAACTTAACTTTGTCCCTACCCCACCACCACATGAAACCTACTCTTCCCCTTGAATGCTTTGTCAGTTCATGGTATTACTACTATGATAGACTCAATTATAGCCCCAGGAATCCCTGGAACCTGTGAATATTTTACCTTTTGTCATAAAGGAGACTTTGCCCGTGTGATTAAGTTAAGGCTGTTGAGATGGGGGATTAGCCTGGATTATCCAGGTGGGCCCACTGTAATCACAAGGGTCCTTATAAGAGGAATGGCAAGAGAATCAGAGTCAGAGCTTGGAAATGTTAGGCTGCTGTGATTTGAGGAAGCCAAAAGAAAAATTTTATTTCAAAATAGAGAAATCTTAGGCTTCTGGCTTTGCCGCTGAAGGTGGGGCCATGAACCAGGGAATGCAGGTGGCCTCTGGAAGCTGGGAAAGGCAAGGAAATGGATTCTTCTCTAAAACCTCCAGACAGGAGGAACTCAGCCCTGCCCACACCTTCAGTTTAGGATTTTTGACCTCTGGAACTGTAATATAATAAATTCGTAGGCTTTTTTTTGAGACAGAGTCTCACTGGAGTGCAGTGGGCATGAGCTGTGATCACAGCTCACTGCAGCCTCAACCTCCCGGGCTCAAGCAATCCTCCCACTTCGGCCTCCCAAGTAGCTAGGACTGTAGGCTCAGGAGGTACGCACCACCCTGTCCAGCTAATTTTTGTATTTTTTGTGGAAACAGGGTTTCACCGTGTTGCCCAGGTTGGTCTCAACCTCCTGAGCTGAAGGTATCCTCCCGCCTTAGCTTCTCAAAGTGCTGAAATTACAGGTGTTGTGCCGCCACACCCGGCCAAATTCGTGTTGTCTTAAGGCACTAAGTTTGTGAAAACTTTTTATAGCAACAATAGGAAACTAACACAACCGCATGTTAAGAAGCCTGGGATCTTTGGATTTTGTTGTTGTGAGCCACAGAAACTGACTCAGACTAACAAGAAAGCAGGAATTTATTAGGGGAGATCCAGGTAGCTCACAGACTGGACAAGTGGCTAGAAACCCAGGCTTGGAACCAGGATGAGAGCCCAGGAACTCTAGCATCCAGGTAGCAGGAATTCCCCAGCTGTCTCATCTGGGCACCTTGGCTGGAATAGGTTAGCTGTAATCTTTTTTCTCTCCTTGGATTGTTCACCTCAAGATTGCACACCCTGGGAGGAGAGTGTGAATGGCCTAAACTGGGTCATGTGCCTGCCCTTGGCTAGAGGAAGACAGAGCACCTGATTTACAGGCCCATGTAGAATGTCTTGTGGAGAGGAGGGCTGATTCTCCAAAAGGAAAGCAGCTGCTGTTAGGAAAAGGACAAAGCGTGATGGGTGGCCCCTGCACCCCGTCACCCGGGAGTCTCCCGTTCCAGTCTCCCGTTCCCCAGCCTGTCTTTCTGGGCTTTTCAGTACCCCATATTCTCCAGCCACACTGGACCACCAGACGTTTCCTAACACTGAGCACACTCAGGTCTCAGTGCTGTCCTGTACCCTGCCTTGCCCTTGATCCCCCAAAATTCTCAAACGTGTTAGCAAATTCCACCTTGGTAAATTCTTCACTGACTGCCACTTTCCTCAAATCTTTCATGTGCACTGCTTGTAAAGTTTCTAGTGCGTGTTCTAGGTATTTGTGTTCCTGCCTGTCTCTCTGTCTCTACCACCTAGTGGTGTGTTCTTAGAGGATGGACATGAGGTCTTCCTTACCTTGGGTCCCCAGAGTTGCACACATAAAGGACTCATTGAGTTGAATCCTGTGGCATTTCCCCTAATTGTCCTTTCTCCTCCCACCATTCTAATACTAGTCCTCTTCTAATCAAGACCTACAACCTCTGTCTTAGACTTTGAGCAAAGCATGGTCCTGGTTGCCTGTGGGCCATACACCACGTCTGACAGCATCACGTATGACCCCCTGCTCGACCTGATTGCTGTCATCAACCATGACCGGCCAGATGTCTGCATCCTGGTAAGAGGCACCAGTGCGAAAGCTGAGGAGTCAGCCTTGGAAAATGACTTTAATGCAGTTCTAAATTTTTAGGAAGCATGTCAGTCCTTCCTTTTGGAAAATACCTTTTCATTCTTAATCTACGTCTTTGGAGAGGTATACATGATCTATGGGCCTTTGCTAGTTTTAAAAGCCCAACTTTGGCTGGGCACAGTGGCTCACGCCTGTAATCCTAACACTTTGGGAGGCCGAGGTGTGTGGATCACTTGAGAGCAGGAGTTCTTTTTTTTTTTTTTTTTTTTTTTTTTTTTTTTTTGAGACGGAGTCTCGCTTTGTCGCCAGCTGGAGTGCAGTGGCTCACTCCTCAGCTCGCCTCCCTTTATGCCATTCTCCTCCCCTCCCGTAGCTACTACGGCCCCCCCTCCCCCTTTTTTTTTTTTTAGAGACGGTTCCCTATTACCAGGATGTCTCGTTCCTGACCTCTGATCCCCCTCGCCTCCCAAGTGCTGGATTACAGCTTGACCACCTGCCGCTTTTTTTTTTTTTTTAGACGGAGTCTCACTCTGTTGCCCAGGCTGGAGTGCAGTGGCCGGATCTCAGCTCACTGCAAGCTCCGCCTCCCGGGTTCACGCCATTCTCCTGCCTCAGCCTCCCGAGTAGTTGGGACTACAGGCGCCCGCCGCCTCGCTCGGCTAATTTTTTGTATTTTTTAGTAGAGATGGGGTTTCACCATGTTAGCCAGGATGGTCTCGATCTCCTGACCTCGTGATCCGCCCGTCTCAGCCTCCCAAAGTGCTGGGATTACAGGCTTGAGCCACCGCGCCCGGCCAAGAGCAGGAGTTCTAAGCCAGCCTGGCCAACATGGTGAAACCCCGTCTCTACTAAAAATACAAAAAAAAAATTAGCTGGGTGTGGTGACAGGCGCCTGTAATCCCAGCTACTTGGGAGGCTGAGGCAGGAGAATTGCTTGATCCTGGGAGGCAGAGGTTGCAGTGAGCTGAGATTGCACCATTGCCCTCCAGCCTGGGCAACAGAGTGAGACTCCATCTCAAAAAATAAAAGGTCAACTTTTTTTTTCCCACCCTTTGTTGATTTTACAGTATTCTTACCTCTTTCTCATTACTCCAACTTCTGAACTAATCTCTTTTTAAAGCTCAAAATACTACTATTAGTATGGTGATCAATTTCCCTTGCTAGGTTTAGAAAGTCAGAAAAAAGCCCAGTGTGCTTTTTTTTTTTTTTTTTTTGAGACAGAGTCTCACTCTCACCTAGGCTGGAGTGTGGTGGCGCGATCTTGGCTCACTGCAGCCTCCACCTCCTGGGCTCAAGTGATCCTCCCCATCCTCCCTATCTCAATCTTCCGAATAGCTTGGACTACAGGCACACGCCACCATGCCCAACTAATTTTTGTATTTTTTTTTGTAAAGAGAGGGTTTCACCATATTGCCCAGACTGGCCTTGAACTCCTGGGCTCAGGCAATCTGCCCACCTTGGCCTCCCAAAGTGCTAGGATTACAGGCATAAGCCCAGTGTTATAGTGGGCATTAGTAATGGTTATGGGGCCCTGGGAGCCTCCCTCCATCCGGGGCACACGTGCTTCTGCCTGTGAAATTGGCTTGGCGCCCCCGCCAGCCCATCTGCTAGCTGTCCCCAGGCTATCCAGGCAGCCTTGGAGGGACAGATGGGCCCTCGGCAGAGGACTTCCAGAAGAGGTGATCCGAAGTCGTTCACAGACACAGGTGATTCTGATTTGTTCTTTTGGTGTCTTTGTTTCTCCCCTCGCAGTTTGGCCCTTTCCTGGATGCTAAGCATGAGCAGGTGGAGGTGAGTGGGCTGGGGTGGGAAGGGGTCCTGGGTACTTGCGTTCAGTCAGGCTCTCGCTTTTCTTTTCATTTTTTAATGTTTATCCCACTTTATCGCACATCTATAACAAACACATTAATTCCTGTGGCTAATCAGAAATCATTTTAGCAGGGCACTTTATTAATAAAGATCTGGAATCCGAGAGCTTCCTTTCACCAGAATACAAGGCTGTCTGGAAGCTGGGGGAGGGACATGTAAATATATCAGTCCTAATGTTCCTTTGTTTGTGATGCCTGGTGCTAAGGCACAAGAGCACTAGCACAAATGCAGGTGTCTGGCAGTCACAGGCTGCCCTGTGAAAGAACCTATCCTGGCCAATACCCCGAGCTTATAACTCATCTTGCTGTCCTTTGCATAAAACACAAATGGGGCCGGGCGCGGTGGCTCAAGCCTGTAATCCCAGCACTTTGGGAGGCCGAGACGGGCGGATCACGAGGTCAGGAGATCAAGACCATCCTGGCTAACATGGTGAAACCCCGTCTCTACTAAAAATACAAAAAACTAGCTGGGCGAGGTGGCGGGCGCCTGTAGTCCCAGCTACTCGGGAGGCTGAGGCAGGAGAATGGCGTAAACCCAGGAGGCGGAGCTTGCAGTGAGCTGAGATCTGGCCACTGCACTCCAGCCTGGGCGACAGAGCGAGACTCCGCCTCAAAAAAAAAAAAAAAAAAACACAAATGGTCCTTCCTGGGACACATCCATGGCTGAGGTCTGGGACCTCTGATCCTTTGTCTCACAATACTTTACCTTCCACGGAAAATGTTTCAAAGCACTCTTTCTTCCTTGTAGTCTCTCCCACACTGCATTCAAGAGAGTTAATTCCCACATCTCCCCTCCTGCCTTCAACTAGACTTAGCTCCTTAAGAAAAATACCCCATCTTTCTCATCTTTGCGTCTCCTTCAGCTCCCAGCCCAACAGCTGACATCTATGGGTCACCTAACAATGTTAAGTGAGTAAACACCAAACATCTGCTGTCTAAATTTATCTCCTTTCCTTTCTTGCAGAACTGTCTACTGACAAGTCCATTTGAAGACATTTTCAAGCAGTGTCTACGTACAATTATTGAAGGCACAAGAAGGTCAGATTTCAAAATACTGGACAGAACCTTAAGCTTCCTAGGTTTCTCCAGAGCTTCCCATTAAGAAACTGAAACCATTTAAAAGTCATGGCAGCGCCAGGCTTAGTGGATCCACATCTGTAATCCCAGCACTTTGGGAGGCCGAGGCAGGGGCATCACCTGAGGTCAGGAGTTTGGGACCAGCCTGGCCAACATGGTAAAACCCTATCTGTACTAAAAATACAAAATTAGCCAGGCATGGTGGTGGGCACCTGTAATGCCAGCTACTGGGGAGGCTGAGGCAGGAGAATCACTTGAACCCGGGAGGCAGAGGTTACAGTGAGCCAAGATTGTGCCATTCGGCCGGGCGCGGTGGCTCAAGCCTGTAATCCCAACACTTTGGGAGGCCGAGACGGGCGGATCACAAGGTCAGGAGATCGAGACCATCGTGGCGAACCCGGTGAAACCTCGTCTCTACTAAAAAATACAAAAAACTAGCCGGGCGAGGTGACGGGCGCCTGTAGTCCCAGCTACTCGGGAGGCTGAGGCAGGAGAATGGCGTGAACCCGGGAGGCGGAGCTTGCAGTGAGCTGAGATCCGGCCACTGCACTCCAGCCTGGGTGACAGAGCGAGACCCCGTCTCAAAAAAAAAAAAAAAGATTGTGCCATTACACTCCAGCCTAGGCAAAAAGAGCAAAACTCCATCTCAAAAAAAAAAAAAAAAAAAAGCTGGGCCCGGTGGCTCACGTACTCTGGAAGGCCAAGGCGGGTGGATCACCTGAGGTCAGGAGTTCAAGACCAGCCTGACCAACATGGTGAAACCCCATCTCTACTAAAAATACAAAATGAGCTGGGCGTGGTGGCACATTCCTGTAATCCCAACTACTGGGGAGGCTGAGGCAGGCGAATCACTTGAACCCAGGAGGCAGAGGTTGCCGTGAGCCGAGATCGTACCACTGCACTCCAGCCTGGGCAACAAAAACAAAACTCCTTTTCCAAAAAAAAAAAAAAAAATTCATGGCAGTTCCTATTCTTTTCTTCCTTTTGCACTACTGAGATCAGCTAGAACCCTTGACCTTCAAGTGCAAGTTAAGAGGCATCTCTGTAAAACACAAAGATAAACATACTTGAAAGGACAAGGGTGCATCGGCTTTCATTGTTTGGTTGCTCTTTCTCTTCTATACTTAGTTCCTTTTCTCCCTTTTGTATAAACTAATATTCCACGGGAATCTTCCCAGGATGGTTTTGAGAAGTGTTTGATGACTTACGCAGTGAAATCCTGTGAGACCCCACACATCTCGTTGTGTAAGTGATTGTTTTGGGTGAGCCCAATTTCCTCCCAAGTCAGTGCTTCCCCAGGGTGCGTGGGATGCCGCCAGTGGCTACAGCTGGTGGTGACAGACACTCTCGGTGAGGGTGGGGCCTTGAATCCTTGCCACAGACCAAACAGAAGGAACTGTGAGAGGTCACAGCAGAGATGAGAGAGCTGTGCAGTTCTCATTTGAGAGGAAAGTCACTGTTCCAGGAAGAGGCTAAAGCCGAGAGTGGAAAGTTATTCGGAAATCTGACATCCTCCATTCCTGTCATTCCTGTCCCTTTCCCCCAGTGCCAGTGTTTGAAAGAAGCTGGTATAGGTGGTAGATCTCCTCATGAGATCTGCATGCCTGTAGCTGAGCTAATAAAATAGAAATGTTCCTGAGGCTAAGTGTTTAAAGACGAGTCTGTCACAAAGGTGGTTTTTAAAATAAGATGTCTAACTTTCCGCCTTTTAGCCATGAGAACTGATCCCAGAGTCAATAAGTTGTAACACTACCTTCTTGTACCGGCAGTGTGGGCCAGGATGGTAGATGGCACAGCTGGAATAAAGAACATCCCCCAACTCCCAGAATCAGAGATGTGGGTTGTGCCAGTGACAACCATGGCTGGTTCTGCCCTTTCCTCCCTCCCTCCCTCAAATGAAGGTGATGCAGGTGCCTTCCCTCTTCCCCAGATTTGCTGTGATCTTGGTCAAGTTCATCAGGCCTGGAGAGTGGTTAGAACTCCTCAGGAGATAGGCCCCCAAAACACAGGAGCAGGGCTGTCTTCTCCTTTTGTCAGCCCTTGGGGACAGGCAGGGACTGTGTCGTAGTGCCCTAACACTGGCTGGGTGCTTTCAGTTTGAGGTTGGGTTCTGTTTTTGGTTCCTTACCCCATGTGGTATTGTCAGCAGTGATAGAAATAAAGCACAGATAAGGCATTGTTATACTGGGGATGAGAACCCAGCACCACCAGGCACTTTCATCTGTGGCCAGTGTGTGCCACGAGGCAGGGGGAGCTGCCCCACCCTTCTAGAAACAGTATATAAACAGTTCTTGGGCAGAGAATTTCTTTGTATTTCTGAGAGGTCAGAAATGCAGAGCATTAAGCTGAGTCATCATGTAAAAGCCAGAGCCAGGCTAAGCGCAGGGGCTCACGCCTGTAATCCCAGCACTTTGGGAGACTGAGGCAGACAGATCACGTGAGGTCAGGAGTTCGAGACCAACCTGGCCAATATGGCAAAACCCCATCTCTACTAAAAATACAAAAATTAGCCAGGCGTGGCGGTGGGTGCTTGGGAGCTACTCGGGAGGCTGAGGCAGAATTGCTTGAACCCAGGAAGTGGAGGTTGCAATGAGCCGAGATTGCACCACTGCACTCCAGCCTGGGTGACAGAGCAAGACTCCATCTCAAAAAAAAAAGAAAAAAAAAAAGAGCCAGTGAGAAAGCACCTCAGAGGAAGCAAGCAGAGCCCGCGGTTCTCATCCTGTTTGCGGGAGCAGCTGGAGGACCCTCCCCCTGTGACGTATGAGGTTGTGCAATGCTGAGCATAGTTGGGATTTTTTTCTGATCCCTCCTTCTATAGCCGGTTTCTAACCATGAGCAGGAAGGCTATTTCTTCCTTAACTATTGCCCTTCCAAAGCCTGCTGAAACAGGGCAGTTTTGTCCCTTGAGAGCAGCCAGCTGCACCTCAGTTCATTGTGTTCATCACAGATGTCAAGCCCTTGAGATGTGGAGCACAGATTGTCCCATTCAAGTTACCCTGTGGCTTGTTTACCAGACCCTGGCACCCAAATGGTGGACTGGATCATCCTAGTGAGCTTTTCAGTGTCAAAGGAACAATAATGAATATGTAAACACCTTTGGTCTCAGGATTCTGATTTTCTGTTGTAGAAGTCTCAGTTCGCACTCTGAGAGGACACCACAGTGATAAGGGTGACAGCTGTCACCAGCACCTTTATTACATGTCAAAGTGTACGTATGCCTGAGAATTCCACACATTTTAAGCAGGAGACGGAGATGGAAGTGAGAGCTATTGGTGGATTTTAAACATGCCCGCAAAGTAACACTTTATGCCTATTTGATTTATAAATGGCCCCTCTGCCAAGGTCAGCAAAGGGAACCAAGGAAACGGGACTTTCTTTCTCTTTTGTATGGCTGGGAAAAATAAATAGTTGGCCCCCAGAGTTACAACTTTCTTCTTCACTTGCATGTTGTAACCCTAGAGATTCTCCTGCTCCATCAAAGGAAACATCTGCTGTCATCTGTGCTTTTACTGTTGCTGTTAAATATTTCTTTCATTTTTGCAAGATAGCCTGCTGAGAAATAGAAACTCAGGGCATTACTTCCATGTGTGAGAGGGGAGGGATGCGATGGCTCAGGGAGAGGCCGCTTGGGCTTTTCCGCCTCCCGCTGGAAATGTCTGTGTCTTGATTGTCCAGTAATTATGGCCCAGTGTTCAGTCAGTCAGAGGGTTTCAGCTGGATCTTCTAAATACGAAGGCAGGCCAGGCGTGGTGGCTGACGCGTGTAATCCCAATGCTTTGGGAGGCCAAGGTGGGTGGATCACTTGAGGCCAGGAGTTCGAGACCAGCTTGGCCAACCCTGTCTCTACTAAAAATACAAAATTAGCTGGGTGTGGTGGTGTGCACCTGTAGTTCCAGCTACTCGGGAGGCTGAGATACAGGTATCACTTGAACCCAGGAAATGTAGGTTGCAGTGAGCCCACATCATGCCACTGCAGTCTGGCCTGGGTGACAGAGTGAGGCTCTGTCTCAAAAAGAAAACAAAAAAACGGCAGTCTCAGGGTCTTTTTGGTACACTGCCTTCTCCCTAGGAAAGATGCCCCAGCTCCGTGCACTCTGCCAAGGTGTGGCAGGGACACTGTTTAATGCCTGCAAGCTACACTTGCTTAGAAGGTGTAATGAGTCCAAGCTGTGGTTTAAACTCTGGCTCTGAGGCTGTGATTTTTTATTCGCATCCTTATCTTTCTAGATTTTCTTGATCTCCATTTCTTTGCCCCTTTTTCTGCCAAACAATAGTCTCCATCCTCTTGGGAGAAAGCCACACAGAGCAACAAGAAAGTGTCCCAGGCAATCGGAGCCTGTCCAGATGGATGGGTGTGAAGTAGAACAAATTGTCCTTCACTCCCAGTGTCCCATGGGAAACAGCGTCTCTGTTCATAACAGAGTGCAATTCTGAGCTGCCTGCCTGGAAGTGGGCTCTGCCTCCAGCCCTGAGGCATCCTGCCTGTTGCGCAGCTGTTCTAACTCAACCGCACTCACTTTTTTCCCTCTTCTGTTTGTTCTTTTGCCATACTAGCTCCGGCTCCCACCTTGTCTTTGTCCCATCGTTGAGAGATGTGCACCATGAGCCTGTGTACCCCCAGCCACCTTTCAGCTACTCCGATCTGTCTCGAGAGGACAAAAAGGTAGCAGTACCCACTCCTTGACCAGCAGGCAGCCAGAATCCAGCATGCCTCTGCCACTGGCTCTGGCCCTGGCCCTGAAGGGGAGGGTGGAGAGGCCTCTTTAGAGCATGCGTACAGCCTGAATCTTAAACTCTTTTTTTTTTTTTTTTTTAAACAAGCAAATGTGTCTATAAGTTTGATGTATGTTGGTTTGGTCCCCTTTTCCGTGGTCTCCCCAGCCCTCAGACAACCCCCACTTTCATGGGAAGATGTTTCTAGCTTTGGCGTACAAATATTTGTTCCAATCGGTTCTCATTTTAGCAAGTACAGTTTGTGTCCGAGCCCTGCAGCCTGTCCATAAATGGAGTGATCTTTGGCCTGACGTCTACGGATCTGCTGTTCCACCTGGGGGCCGAGGAGATCAGTAGGTAAGAAGTATGTTCCAGGCCCCAAGCAAGATGACTGGCTTTCTGGTCCCAGCCCTTTCTGCAGCCAAGAAAATCAAGGGGATGCTTGACAGTCTTGACCAGAGAGTCCTGAAAGCAGCAAGCTGTGCCCGACCCTCTGGCCATCTGAGTTTCTCTGTACCCAAGGGGAGGGGTTGGTTGGATGCATTAGTTTCTGTTACCACCTCTCTAAACTGCATTTGAGACCCCAAAGAACCACGTCCATTCTGTCTTTGCACTTAAAGGCATCGAAATTCATCTACATTTTCTTTTCTGCTCCTGTTTTTTTCATTTCCCAAATTTGTGACCTGAAAACAAATGTGGACATCCTGTTTGTGGAGGATAAACTGGGAATTTTCTCTGAAGGGCTTTCTTCATTACTAGTACAACATCCAGCTCTGCAGATAATCAGGCCCTGCCAAATTTGTTGAGTTGATGTTGGGCAGCTCCGTTCTGCCGTCATCCTTGATGGGAAGGGGCGTGTGAAGCGACTCTCATGTGAAGCAAGATGGGTGTGGCTCCTTGGCTGAGGTTTGAGATCGAGTCAGCCTGGCTACACGCCCGCCTCACAATGGTGCCAACTTTGCATCCTCTTGCACAGCACGGTGCTGGCTAATGGCCCTCCTTGATCTTGATTACGAGGGATTCCTGTGCTTTCCCTTCTCAACCCGGTGTCCTATGTCCCTCCTCATGTGGGGACAGACCAAGCTCCTTGTGGGTGGGTCTTTAAACTTCCCCAGATGCATCCTCCTCTTGTCACTGGGCCTCTCTCTGGTTTATTAAATTCTCCGGTCCTCCCTGAAGAGAAATGGGCTGAAAAACAGGGTTCTGTGTTCGTGCTTTCTTTTCTTTCCCAGTTCTTCTGGAACTTCAGACAGATTCAGCCGAATACTCAAGCACATCCTGACCCAGAGAAGGTGAGCTTGCCGCTGGGACCCCTGACTGTGGAGAGAGTGCCTTGGGGTCATGAAGCTATGACAAGCATGACTATAAGAGCCTTCACCAGGCTACCAGCAGGGAACTTTACCCTGTGATGACAAGCCTGCATTCTGCCCCCACACACAGAGAAAAAGTCGGTCTGCGGACGCCAGCAGCACGGAAGCCAGTACCTAGGGGGACTCTGTCTGAGAAGGGGGCCCCCCAGTCTGCTACTGCTGACCATTTCTCTCTGTCTCTGTAGCTACTACCCGCTCTACCCACCCCAAGAAGACATGGCCATTGACTATGAGACTTTCTATGTCTACGCACAGCTGCCTGTCACCCCAGATGTCCTTATCATCCCGTCAGAGCTGAGATACTTCGTGAAGGTAGGTTTGAACTCTGCTTTTTCCCAGAAACACCAGAACCCAGTCTTTGACTTTCCCTTCTGGACCACCTGGCACTCACCCCTCATGGGTCTGCTGAGGGGGATGGGGCCTCTAGCACCCTGCCCTGTGGCCTTGTTTCTGTGGGAAGGTGGTGGGACCAGAAAACAAACAACTCTGTCAGTAAAATGCTTGAGTAAACAGTGTCCCCTCCTCCCTCCCCAAGAGAACAGGAGCCCAGGTGACTAGGAAGGCCCTCAACTGAGGGCTTTTACCAGGCCACATCAAGGTGACCTGGGGAAGATTTCAGTGTACACTTGCCTGTCCTGTGCCTCCCAAATTCTGATACGACCTCCAAGTGGGCTCAGCTGGGAATACCTTGAAGAAGCTATCAGGTCATTCTGATCTCTGCCACCCTTCACCCTGCCTGCCTTGGAGTTAGGTCCCTTACAGGGAATCTGCCCAGACCAGTCCCACTCTTGCCAAACAAGAGCTAGTTCAACCTCAAGGGGTTAAAAAAGGGAAAAAAAAAAAGTTTTTCACATGGGAAAGCAGTAAACAGCTAGATCAGGTTTGTCTCCAAGTTTGGGGGCTGATTATCATTCTGCCAAGTCACCTCATTCTTCTGTTTGAAATACTTAAAAGGAATTCAAAGCTTTCTAGTAACAAGTTAACATATGTGACGGAGGCTGGGTGCAGTGGTTGACAATTGTAATCCCAGCACTTTGGGAGGCCAAAGTGGATGGATCACCTGAGGTCAGGAGTCTGAGACCAGCCTGGCCAACATGGTAAAACCCCATCTCTACTACAAATACAAAAATTAGCCAGGCATGGTGGTGTGCACCTGTAATCCCAGCTACCTGGGAGGCTGAGGCAGGAGAATCGCTGGAACCCAGGAGGTGGAGGCTGCAGTGAGCTGAGATCTTGCCACTGCACTCCAGCCTGGGCAACAGAGAGAGACTCTGTCTCAAAAAAAAAAAAAAAAAAAAAAAAGACTGAAAATGTGTCTGGTTGTCTGTCTTCATTTCCATTTTGTAAAACCCTCTTTGGGGTCCAGCCATCTGATGTCACTTCTTTTTCACATTGGTTCCCAGTTAGTTAAGGCCTCCAAACCTGTCTCCCCTTCTCTCCTCCCCAGGATGTCCTCGGCTGTGTCTGTGTGAACCCCGGGCGCCTTACCAAAGGGCAGGTGGGAGGCACCTTCGCCCGACTCTACCTCAGGAGGCCAGCGGTGGACGGAGTGGAGAGGCAGAGTCCGTGCGTTGCCGCGCAGGTCGTCAGGATCTGAGGCTTCTGTCCTCTGCTGTGTGGGCCCTTAAAGTCTTAGCCAAGAGCCAAGACGTAGCCCTGTGACAAGGTGAACAGTTGGGTAGGAAAGGAGAGAGGAGCCAGCCAGGGAGGGGCAGCTGCAGGGACCAGGCCCAGCAGGGAGGGCTCGTGCAGCCGGGCCTGCCTGTGAGTGGAGCCTCTCCTGGAAGGAGGCTGTTGCCTCTCAGTCCGTGCTCCAGGTACAGAAGTAAGCCAGCTGTGGATCCCGCCCACTCAGAAAAGGCGAGAAGGCTTTGTGATTTTCTGCATGAATCAAACGCAGAAACAACTTTTGGAGAAATTAAATTCTGAGTGTGACTTCTGAGTTTGACCTTTCTTCTATTTTCTTTATCCTGGTAGTAGACAGAGAATGTTGCCTATTTGACCTATGACCAGAGAAGGCAGTGTCGGTCACACTGGGTTTCTGTCCAGCCCTAGTCTTGTCCAGTGGGTAACTCTCAGCCCCACCCCTCATCCCCCAAAGGCCCCAGCGACCTCTATGCTGCAGAGGTGCACTGGGCGGGCCCTAGAGCTGGGCTGCAGAGCAAGCAGCTGGCCACATGCCTGGGCCTCCCTGCGCGGTTCCTCACATGCATGCTGTGGTCCCAGCCTGACCTCTCCATCTGGAGAGGGTGGCCTCGCCGGGCTGTTCCAAAGCTAGAGTCCTGGTGGCAGCTGCTTTGCCAAGTCACGCAGTGGCCAGGGCTTGCCTGCAGCCCAGAACACTCAGACAGGGTCAGGCCTTCCAAGGTTCACAGCACATCTCATGCCCCTGTGTCCTGGCATCTGGGGAAAAGCTGTCACTGGCCAGACGTGGAGTGGCTTCCTGCCCTAAGCTGGCAGGCTGTCCTGCCTCACATGCCAGAGCCAAGACCAGCAAACCCCAGCTGTCAGGGCAAGGAAGTGGGCAAGGGGGCAGCGAGCTGCTGGTGTCTGTGCCTTGACTCAGAGATAAATAGGTGACCTGACAGTGGCCAGCTTTTGCCTCTCACCTTTCTGACAGTGAAATGGAGTTGAGCTCCAGATCTGACCAGCGTACAGTAAAAGGTCTCCCTTTAAACACAAGGAGCAGCTGTTTTATTTCATTGGTTTATAGGCACCTCCTCTGAGGCCAAGAATTAGAAACTCATCCCGGCGTGGGGAGCGGATTTTTCCCTCCTCCCCCAGCTCCTCCACACGCGAAGCAGCCAGCCATATTCCATGGGGGCACCATGACTTGTCAGCCTCTGGATATGGAATTTTGGGAGCCCAGGCAACGGTTGCCTGGATACCAGTAGTGTGACTGTTGGAAATGATCTGGGAGGGCTGGGAGGGCCGGAGCAGGCGTTTAAGAGTCAGACAAAAAGAAAGCAGGATGCGAACCCCTGAGCAGACAGGTCTGGCAGGCGTGCCTCTGCCACCAGACAGTTCCTTTTTGCTCTTATCAGGAAGGTGCCAAGTGACTGCTGGCTGACCGTCCCTAGACCCCACTTCAGCTGTGTCACCAGTTTCCCCAGGCATCTGTTGTCCCAGACGATCTCAAGCAGGCTCTGGGGGTGTGTCAGTGATGGAGGGTGGAGAGTCCCCAGGAGGTCAGGCCCATCTGCCTTACAGCCGCCTTTGGTGGCCTCCCCCTGATCTGGTCATGGTCCCTGCCCTTGAGACACCAACTAGATGGCCTTGAAGAAACAGTCCTGAGCTCTTACCAGGATTTGCCTCTCATGCCCATGCCCCCACCTTGCCCTGCCTCTGCCCTGGCAGAAGGAGCCACCCTCCCTTGCCCACCTGGTGGCTTCCCTTTAGGGTTCCAGTCTCTGAGAGGGAGAGCTGCCAAGGGAACAGAAGCCACTCCTAGTTGCTGTGCCTGGGAACCTAAGTGGGTGCCAAGAATGAAGCGAGGGAATTAGGACCTCGAGGGGCACCCAAGGGTGGGGCCGGCAGGGCCATGGCGTGGATCTTCCATCCAGCTCTACCTTCAGCAGCCACTGGAGCTTGGGGTTTCCTTTCCTTTGACCTCAGGGCACCTGGCCCAGCTCAACCTGGCCCTGCAGCTTCCCTACTGCTGGGAGTAGCCATCTGGGCTGACTTCTGACTCCACCCACTCCACCCGACGGAGCTGGCTGGAGTGCAGTGGCGTGACCTTGGCTCACTGCAACCTCCGCCTCCCGGTTTCAAGCTATTCTCCTGCCTCTACCTCCCAAGTAGCTGAGATTACAGGCGCCTGCCACCATGCCCAGCTAATTTTTGTATTTTCAGTCGAGATGGGGTTTCGCCATGTTGGCCAGTCTGGTCTCAAACTCCTGACCTCAAGTGATCCACCCGCCTCACCATCCTAGAGTGCTGGGATTGCAGGCATGAGCTACTGTGCCCAGCCATAAACATCATCATTTTAAAGTGTACTATTCGGTGGTTTTTAGTATGTTCATGGTGTTATGCAGAACTTGCCACTATCTAATTCCAGAGTATTTTAATCACCCCAAAGGAAACCCTGCACCCATTAGCAGTCAAATTCCATCCCCTGGCAATCATTAATCTAATTTCTTTTCTGTAGGTTTGCCTATTTTGGGCATTTTGTATAAATAGAATCATACAATACATCCTCTTTTTGTTTTTGAGACGGAGTTCCGCTCTTGTCACCCAGGCTGGAGTGCAGTAGCGCAATCTCGGCTCACTGCAACCTCCGCCTCCCGGGTTCAATCGATTATCCTGCCTCAGCCTCCTGAGTAGCTGGTATTGCAGGTGCCTGCCACCACACCTGGCTGATTTTTATATTTTTAGTAGAGACAGGGTTTTGCCATATTGGCCAGACTGGTCTCAAACTCCTGACCTCAGGGTTCAGCCTCCTGAGTAGCTGAGATTACAGGTGTGTCTCGAGCTCCTGACCTCAGGTGAGCCACCTGCCTCAGCCTCCCAAAGTGTTGGGATTACAGGCATGAGACACTGTGCCTGGCCCATGCCCTTTTCTGTCACGTTTTGTTTGGTTTTGAGACAGTCTCGCTCTGTCACTCAGGCTGGAGTGCAGTGGCATGATCTCTGCTCACTGCAACCTCCACCTCCCGGTTTCAAACGGTTCTCCTGCCTCAGCCTCCCGTGTGGCTGGGACTATAGGCGCCCGCCACCATGCCAACTGATTTTTGTATTTTTCGTAGAGACAGGGTTTCACCATGTTGCCCAGGCTGGTCTCGAACCGCTGACCTCAAGTGATCCACCCACCTTGGCTTCCCAGAGTGTTGGGATTACAGGTGTGAGCCACCGCGCCCAGCCTGTCAGGTTTGTTTCACTTAGCATGATGTTTTCAAGGTTCGTCCCTGCAGCAGCACGTATCAGTCCACCATTGTTTCCTGTGGCCGAGACCCCGCCGTGTGGCCGTCAGTCCGCCGTTGTTTCCTGTGGCCGAGACCCCGCCGTGTGGCCGTCAGTCCGCCGTTGTTTCCTGTGGCCGAGACCCCGCCGTGTGGCCGTCAGTCCGCCGTTGTTTCCTGTGGCCGAGACCCCGCCGTGTGGCCGTCAGTCCGCCGTTGTTTCCTGTGGCCGAGACCCCGCCGTGTGGCCGTCAGTCCGCCGTTGTTTCCTGTGGCCGAGACCCCGCCGTGTGGCCGTCAGTCCGCCGTTGTTTCCTGTGGCCGAGACCCCGCCGTGTGGCCGTCAGTCCGCCGTTGTTTCCTGTGGCCGAGACCCCGCCGTGTGGCCGTCAGTCCGCCGTTGTTTCCTGTGGCCGAGACCCCGCCGTGTGGCCGTCAGTCCGCCGTTGTTTCCTGTGGCCGAGACCCCGCCGTGTGGCCGTCAGTCCGCCGTTGTTTCCTGTGGCCGAGACCCCCCGCCGCTGTTGTGGCCGCTGTGGCGTCAGTCCGCCGTTGTTTTCTGTGGCCGAGACCCCGCTGTGTGGCTGTCAGTCCGCCGTTGTTTCCTGTGGCCGAGACCCCGCTGTGTGGCTGTACGGTATTGGTATTTTGTTGATCAGTGCATCCACTGTCGGGTTTTCCCACTTGTTGACTATTATGAATAGTGGAGGCTTGGGTACAAGCTTTGTGTGAACACCTGTTTTCAGTTATCTTGGGTATGTTCCTAGGAATGGGGAGGGGCTTTAGATTTATGAAGGAAGACGAGGCAAAGAGAGGGAGGCAGGAGGGACAGAGGGTGAGAGACGGGTAAAAGAAAAGAGGGAAGGACAGAGGGAAAGAGGGAAGGGAGGCAGTGATGGACCTGGAATGGTGCTTCAGAGCCAGACCATGGTCTTGCTAAGGCGTTTGGACCTGATTCTTTCTGCCCCAGAGAATCTTGGAAGGGTTTGCCTCCCACCCCCTGTGCCTCACCCTGACCACCCAACAAGGACCAACTTAAGAGGAGTCCCAGGTGCAGCCCCAGTATCTAGGAGCACGTAGCAAAGGGGTGGTTTGAGCAGAGAAGGGCTCAGGGGAGGGGCCTGGATCTGTTGGGGCAGGTTGGGAGGAAGAGGGGCACCAAGTGGGCCATTAGAATACTGGAAACAGCACTCCAGTGAGACCTGGGCATTGGAGGGGTAGATGTGGGAGTCACCGCAGTCAAAAGCCAGGAACTGGAGGCGCTGGGAGGGTGGCCGAGAGAGGGATGGGCAAGATCGTGCCATGGAGAGAATTTTGGCCAGCACTAGCACTTAGCATCACCGATCAACAAGGCAAAGGGTGGGATTGGCCTGGGGGCAGGGGAGAGGAGGGGTGGCAGCAGAGAGGTGCTGGGATTTCTGGCTAGAGAGACCACCGGAAGACACCCATGGTTGTTCATGGCGAGACTCCCAGCTGCATTCAGGCATTTGGGCCCTTCTGTCACCGCCCTTGGACTTTCTGGGTCTCCAGTCCCCAAGCGACCATGCCTACTGCTGCTTTCTTGGGTCAGCCCTGGAAATGCCCAGGGGTCTAGGGGCTGGCCTCCCCTCGGACCCACCTGGACCACTGCCGGCTCTGAATTCCCCCATCCTGCGCCGCCTCTTCCCAGGGCTCTAGGCTCCTCCCCACCCAGAGCCTGCCTGACAGCTGAGGCCTTGCAGCTGCCCAGGCCAAGGGGCCACTGGGAGGTCTCAGAAACAGCTGCTGCCCATGACCCCTCTGACCCTGGCCCCTGCACACTGCTCCCTGAGATCCCAGGTTTCTGCCCAGCGGCCAGTGGGGCCCAGCCAAGCCCCATCGTCTCTGCTTACTCCCATCGCTCCCAGATCTTCCCAGGGGCTGAAGCATTTCATGCTGAGTCAGCAGGCCCCACCCGAAGAGTGAGAAAAGCTGCTGAGTAGAGGCGCCCCTAGCCCCGCTCCTGCCCCAGAGGAAGTGCCTTTCCGGGGTGGATGAGGGGTACACCTGCCTCCATCAAGCAGGC